ATAGTTTGAAGCCAGCCCAGGAAGGAAAGTCCATGAGACTCTTATCTCCAGTTAATCACAGAAAAAGCCAGAAGTGGTACTCAAGTGGTAGAATACTAGGTTTTGAGCAAAAAGAGCTAAAGGGACAGTGCCTACGCCCAGAGTTCAAGGCCCAGGACCAACAAACCAGCTTTGAACCTTGGTTCTCATACCTTAGCCTCCTGAATATCTAGGTCCTATCTTGACTGATGTAGGTACATAGAGTTTGGAGTTATAAAAGCTTCTGTTTCATATATGTAACATAATTTACCAGTTCATTCCTTGATTTCATTAGTCAAATTTGTCCTGTGCACCTACTATGTCCTGGGTCCATTTTAACCAGGAGAGTTCAGTAATGAGCAAGGAAAGTTTTTGCTCTTGTTAAGCTGATCTTCTGAGTTTGTTTATTTTTTGTTTTTGTTTTGTCAGTCATGGGGCTTGAACTCTGGGCCTGAGTGCTGTCCTTTAGCTCTTCAGTTCAAGGCTAGTGCTCTACCTCTTGAGCTACAGTGCCACTTCTGGTTTTCTGGTGGTTTATTGGAGATAAGAGTTTCACAGACTTTCCTGCCCAGGCTGGCTTTGAACCACGATCCTCAGATCTCAGCCTCCTGAGTGGCTAGGATTACAGGCATGAGCCATCGGCGCCCAGCTTTCTGAGTTTTTATGTTTGTTAGTTTGTTTTGTTTGCCTTGTTTTGTTTTGTGCGAGTCCTGGGGTTTGAACTCAGGGTTTGGGCACAGTCTCTGAGCTTCTTTTATTCAATGCTAGCACTCTACCACTTGAGCCACAGTTCCACTTCTGGTTTTTCTATGATTAATTGGAGAGAAGAGTCTCATGTACTTCCTTGTGCACTTCCTTAGATCTCAGCCTCCTGAATAGCTAGGATTACAAGCACAAGCCACCAGTGCCCAACTCTGATGTTCTAATTTGAGCTTGAAAATGCAAACATTTAAACTGGGGCATGATGAGGGTCAAAGAGTAAGAAGTGTTGGGACGTAAAATCTGAAGCACTGAAAGTGCTGAGTGATGAGCTAGGTAGCTATAGTAGTGGGACCACACATCTTATTTTGCCCAGGATTGAACCAGGTTAGCACTGATAGCCCCAGATCCCAGACAGATCAGGATGAGCTACCATCTGTAGTCAGCACAGGCCTTTCTAGGTAACACTGAGGCACAGACTTCTGCTGTGCTGGTAAAAACCAGCCATGCAGATATTGAGGGATGAGCTTTTTTAGACAAAGCCAAAGCACAAGGAGCTGGGGACAAAAGGGCACTTGATGTGCTTGAAGGATATGGAGAGAGGTTGGGGTGGGGGAGGGGGGCAGTCAGGGATGAGGAACCACGGGTAGGGTAGAGCTGGGAGCTGGGAGCCAGGTTGAACATTCACAGACCACGTACAGGCTCGGGGCTTTAATTCTAGAGATGATGTGAAAGATGCTGCAGTTTTAGATCAGTTAAGACAAATGATCTAGCCAGGTGCCCATGTCTCACACCCAATACTTGGGAAGCTTAGATCTGAGGATGGTGATTTTAAGCCAGTCTAGGCAGAAAAGGCCAAGAGACTCTTATATCCAATTAACAAAAACGCTAAAAGTGGAGCTGTGGCCCAAAGTGGTAGAGGGCTAGCTCAGGGAAAGAGTTCAAGCCACATGACGAACTAAAATAATGTTTTTTTCTAAAAGGCACAAAATCTGATTTACATTTTAGAAAATTCACCCTGGGGGACTGGGAAGATGGCTCAGAAGTAAAGGGCTTGCCTCTCATGCTTGAGGCCCTGGGTTTGATTCCTCAGCATCACATAAATAGAAAAAGCTGGAAATAGCGCTGTGGCTAAAGTGGTAGAGCACTACTATTGAGCTGAAGAGCTGAGGGATAGCACCCAGGCCCAGAGTTCAAACCCCATGACCGACAAAAAAAAAATTCACTCTGGCTTTTGGTGGAGAAAGGTGAGGGAGTAAAGGAGTACAGATAGAATCAGAGAACAAGCAGAGAAGTTATGGCAATGATACATCCAAGTGAAGCTGATGCTCGGACAGGTGGCCGTGGGACTGGGGTTTGGGGATTGAATACATCCATACCCATATAGGTTTGAGTTTATTGTTAGTTGATCCATGATAATGGTACATTTGTAGAGTACAGTGTGATGTCTTAGTGCATGGGTACATTACGTAATGATCAAATCAGAATATTTTGGGCTGAGAATGTGACTTAGTGGTAGAGTGCTTACGCAGCATGCATGAAGCCCTGGGTTCAATTCCTCAGTACCACATACACAGAAAAAGCCAGAAATGATGCCATAGCTCAAGTGGTAGAGTGCTAGCCTTGAGCCAAAGAAGCTCAGGGACAGTGCCAAGGCCCTGAGTTCAAGCCCCAGGACTGCCCCCCCACCAAAAAAGAAAAGAATATTTTATATGTCTGTCACCTCAAGCATGTCTTTGGTTCTTTGGAGGCACGGATTTAAAATCCTCTCTCTTAGTAACATGGAAATACATAATGCAGTATTGTGAAGTATCGTCACTTTACCATGCAACAGGACACTAGAATTTACTTCTCCTAGCTAACAATAATTTTTTTTTGGGTCCGGTCGTGGGGCTTGAACTCTGGGCCTGGGCGCTGTCCCTCAGCTCTTCAGCTCAAGGCTAGCACTCTACCACTTGAGCCACAGAGCCACTTCCGGCTTTTTTCTTTTTGCTTATGTGGTGCTGAGGAATCGAACCCAGGGCCTCAGGCATGCAAGGCAAGCGCTCTACCACTGAGCCACCTTCCCAGCCCCTAACAATAATTTTGTATCTTTTAATCTTTCTCTCGTTCTCTACCCCAGCCTCTGGTAACACCACTATTCTACTCTCTACCTCCATGAGATCAACTTTTAATTTTTAGATTCCACAAACGAATGACATCATGTGGTACTCATCTTTTGCTGCCTGTCTTTATTTCACTTCGCACGATGCCCTCCAGGTTCATCCACGTTGCTACAAATCACAGGATTTCACATTTTTATGGATGAATAATATTCCATTGTGTGTGTGTGTGCGTGTGTGTGTATACCACAGTTTCTTTATCCATCTATGCTCTGATAGACACTTTGACTAATTCCATATCTTAGCTATCATGAATAGTGCTATGCTGAACATATGAATACTGTACAAGTGTCTCTGACATATTGGTTTTATTGTCTAGATAGGTTTTGAAGGGGATGTCATGAAGAAGTGAAGGTGGGTAAGGGTGCAGTGTTTCTAGAACGAATTTCAAGTCACTGTCTTGAGCAGATATAGGTAATAGCACCATTACTGAGTTGGAAGATTGATGGAAGAGCCGTTTAGGAAAGGCAAAGGAATGGAAGACCAAATCTTTGTTTTGGACATGGTAGGACTGAGATCTCTGGACATGTAATTAGTGAAGGGTTGAAGAAACAGGTATGTAAGTTTAGGGATCACGAGATCAGAAAAATCAGAATTGGGAGATCAATCAGGGACCATTGACTATAACTGGTTAAGCCCTTAAACTGGTTTTGATAACTAGGAAACAAGTCACTAGAAATCCAAGGACTGAGCCAGGGCTGAAAGACAAAAAGAGGAAAGAGAATGAAATATCAGAGGTGAAGAAGGGGCAGCCTGTGAGCCAAAGGAATCCCCCAGGAGCAGCTAGACAGAGTGTACCAAGGACAGAGGCTGAGTAGGGTGGGGGTGGAGGCACTGAGGAGTGAAGGTTCCATCAGGGCCTTGTTGTTGAAAAGCAGCACCCTTGTGCTTGGGCTGTGTTGTGTCAACACGACACCCTGCAGATCTGTGTACTGGTGCAACATTTCTATTTTGTAGAAAGACATAGGCCTTTGAGGCTGTTTTCTTGAGCTTTTCCGGCCCCCAGCATTTCTGAGCCTTCAGAAGACCCCCTACGCCACTGCACTCAGTTTCCTCCCTGTCCAACCTCCTCACCCCTGTGGACCCCTCCTCAGTAGTGAGTTGGAGAGCCATACAGAAAGTTCCAGAAGGGCAGGGACTCTGTTGGGTCCATCAGTAAATTCATTCTCCAGAGCACCCGTCCATTCTTCTTGGACCCCTGGGACGGGAATGGACCCAGTGAGAACTTAATTTCATACCAAAACGCATAGCCTTCGATGAGCTAGGGTGACCCTGGGACCCTGCTTGGCTCACAGACAGCCGGAGAGCTGTGTGCCAACTAGACCTGCTCCAGGAAGAGTGCACCCAAGCTCTGGAAGGGAAGTCCCAAGGGGACCAGCTTCTCAGCACTCAAAGGCCAAAGCTGCCTGGACTCTAACCCAGGCCCAGCTTCTCTGGAGCCTCTGTGGGTTATTGGAAAGTGGTATATCTCAGAAGCCATGGTATGGGTCTTTGGGCCTCTTCTCCAGCCTAAGTGATCTCCACAGGGCCTAGGTGGGCCCCTCAGATGCTATGTTCTTACAGACAGACCCCCCCCCCAACACATGTGTACATGTGAATCTACGTATTCACACAGAAGTTTACTGGTATACCCCAATGTGGGCACACGATCATGTACATGTATGCATCACATTACACAATCACATACTAATAGCAAGCACATACTCACAACAAACACACTCACATAAAATACATATAGATGCACTACACAGGTATGTACCCTAACACCCCACATGCACACCACACAGTGGAATACAATGATGTGCAATCACAGGTGCACAGATACATCTGTCCCTACAACCACAATGATACATACACATACACACACACACACACACACACACACACACTCAAATACTTGAAATATTGGGCCACAATGATACCCCAGAGACACACTGAAGCACATCTGTGAACAGCACACACCCTGACCCACACACTCACACCCGACCTAACAAACCCCAAGGGTCTCCAGGCTCTTTTAGGGCTGTCGTCTAACCCACTTCTACCCCCCAGGGGGAGATGGTGTCTCTGAAGGAACAGAGATCCCCCATTGCATCTTAAGCTCTGCTGGATCCTGGGTGACATCAGCCAGCCCACTTGCTGCGGTTGCTGCTGCTGCCGCCGCCACCAGAAGCTCTGAGCTCTGTGCTGAGGGCACCAGGCACTAACACTTCGCCCTTGTTGGGAGAACAGAGAGAGGCTCTTGTCCACTGCCTGTGCTGGGCAACAACTGCTGCTTCTCCTAGAGGCCTCTCCTCGGGGCTGCACAGGTACGTGGGACCAGGGAAGCCAGGGGACCTGGCACTGGGGCCAGCTTGGAGAGGGGAGGAAGGGTGTTACAGGTAATGCAGGATCCAGCCTTGATTCCCCTCCAAACCAACCTCCTCTGCCTCAGCACTGCAGGCCCCTTCCCCTGTAGTGAGTTGTATAGCCAGCCACACAGAAAGTTCTAGAAGGGTGTGTGGCTATGTTGGACCTAGCTACTTCCCAGAACATGTATTCACCCCTTCCTGGGCCCCTGGGGACTGGAAAAGACCCAGTGAGAATCTAGGAGGCTTAGATGAAGCCACACGGTGCTCCTGCAGATCACTGGGGCTGGGCAGAGCTGGGCCTCTCAGATCAGCCTAGCTGGAGGTTTTTGTTCTTTCCTTTGGTCTCTTTCTTGGCCTCCCATAAGGCCATACATAGGGTAAGTGACTCTCTGTCAAGAGGATGGTCTCCTCTCAGAGAGCCAGGCTCACAGCAGACCACAGTGGCGTCTTGAGATGCACATTTTCCCTCAGCCCTCATGGGAGGTGCAGGGGCTTGTGTGGTCCTGAGCTCCCTGAGCCACGGCCTGGAGCTCCTGGCTGCTTCTATGAGGGCAGACACTGTACTGCTGGTTTGAATAGACCAGCTGGCCACCCCTCCACTGCCTGACTCAGATAGACACTGGCTAGTGTTGGGGCTTTCCTGGCTCTGGTCCAAAGGCCCCCAGGCCAGCTACTGTTCCTCTAGCACTGAGTAGAAGCCCTGTGGTGAAGAGACCAGCGCAGAATCTAGCCTAGCACTGTCCACAAAAGCACAGGACTGCCAGCAAGCCTGTGTGGTTGGCTAGGGAACTCAGCTTGTCCCTTGCGAACTATGGGGCTCTAGAAAGTGCTTTTTTTTTGGTGCTGGTGGTGGTACTGGGTTTTACAAGTAACCTCTTGTAAAATCACTTAAATAATCACTTAAGCCACACTCCCAGCCCTTACCTACCCTTTTATGTTTATTTTTGATAGAGTCTTAAGTTTTTGCCTAGGGGCCAGCCGCAGACTGAAATCTTCTCATCTTCTCGTCCTCCAGCTCCCTCCTAGCTGGGACCACAGGTACACATCACCAAGTCCCAGCTCATTTTTGAAATAGGGACTCACTGATGTTTGTGTCCAGGCTAGCCTTCAACCATAATCTTCCTATCTCCACCTCTCAACTAGCTGGGATTATAGATGTGGGTCCCTGTGCCCAGCCTAAAAAATATTTTTCTAATACTGAATATAGTGGCACATGCATACAATCCCAGCAACTGGCAAGTTGAGGCAGTGGACTCCTGGCTGGCTTTGAGTATATTGTGAGATCCTGTCTTAAAAAGAAATGTAGAGAGAGACGGAGGACAGGGGAGGAAGGAAGAAGGAAAGGAAATAAGGGAGGGAGAGAAAGAAAGACCTTTTCCAAGCCTCAGGCTTTCAGTGGGAGAAAGGTTCACACTTTTGGCCTATAAGAGGCCTTCCTGTGCTGAAGGAAGGATACCTTCTGGTATCCATCCTTGAAGCACTAGGCTGAGGCCTCTCTGTACCTACCCAATCACAGCTGCAGAATGGCTTCCAGCCCAGCCGGGATCTCTAGCCCCCAGGTGAGTGACTCTTTATTTCGTACTCTGCACTAAGTGGGAATCTGTGGAGAGACTGACTGATTCCATAGGCTATGCCAGACCAGGAGCAGGAGCAGGTGAGATGGTGAATGGACAGATGGATGAGGGTGGGGTCAGTGGGTGGGTAGAAGAGTGGAAAGAAAGGAAAGAAAAAGGGAGGCAGGTAACTCATAAGAGGTATTGAAGGGACCTGAAACAAGGCCAGGGAGGGAGGGGGACCTGTTGCTCTCAATCACTTTTTTTTTTAATGTCTTCAGCCATCCACGGCCAATGGGAACATCAACCTGGGGCCTTCAGCCAACCCAAAGTGAGTTCTGATCTCTCAAGCAACTCTCCTACCTGCCTTCTCTCAGAGCTGGTTCTCTGTGTCTTGGGGTCTGGTGTTTAAGCTCCTCAGCCCTGGGATCTTCCCCTGGCTTCCTCTGCTGCTGATTTCTGTGGCTCTTCCTGGTCTTCTGTCTGAATGCCCCTCTGATCAGCAGTATTAGCAGTTGCCGACTCTCAGGCTCTTCCTGAGGGATGAGAGACCAGATCCTGGTCTCTTGTCTGTGCCTTGTACCTTTGGGCCTATTGTTGACTAGACAATAAACTACCTGTGGGGGAGAAGGGCAATCTTAAAGTTCCTCTGGGCTGAGAGGACCTGACACCCTTAAGAGTAAGTCCTGGACACCTGGATGATGGCCCACTTCCAAAGTAAGAGAGAAGCCTGGATTTGCACTCACTCAGAGACAGAGCTCAGTTTTCTGGGTTTGCAAATACTGATTCATGCATGCTCTTCCATCATCTTACAGTGCCCGGCCCACAGATTTTGACTTCCTCAAAGTCATTGGCAAAGGGAACTATGGGAAGGTAAGTAAACAGATCAGAGACCCTTCTCCAGTCTCTTTTACCCAGTGCACCCAGCGCACAGTGGGTGGACTGGAGGTCCTCTCCTGCCATCAGAAAATCCACAGTTACCCATACCTTGCATCTGTGCTTTTGCTCAGGTCCTACTGGCCAAGCGCAAGTCCGACGGGATGTTCTATGCAGTGAAAGTTCTGCAGAAAAAGTCCATCTTAAAGAACAAAGAGGTACCGGAGCTCAAAGCAGACATTTTCTTGCTTCTTCACTGCCACCCTAGCATGGCTTCCTTTCCCAAATGCACCACCACCACATCACACACATAACCCTCCAACACACACACACACACAGACACCTCCAAGAGTCCATGAGGTTGGGTGCAGAGGTAATCCCAACAGGACATGAACTCTTCTCAAGGAAGATAGGTCAGAATGCCTCACTAGGGAGCCTTCAGGAAGACCAGCAGGGCCTCTGCCTTCCCATAATATGGAGACGGTGATGGACATGCTGTATGTCATTGCAATGTGAGGGTCATACTTCACATTCTGCTCTTTCAAGCCATTCCATTCTGGTGCTTCAACTGACAAGTCTCTTCCATTTGAAGGGCGGGGATAGAAAGGGGGCAGGATTATCTGTCAAGTCAGGACTTGGCTGAGTGGTTTGTGCTAACAAGGACATCATAGGGGCAAGAGGTAACCTTGCAGTTGGTCTTGGCAAAGAGAGTGAACTTCCAGACTGGGTATAGGACATGAGCAAAGGTGTGAAGATGGGTAGTACCCGGCTTTTTTAATCCTATGTTTCCTACAGATTTTTCTTGGGACTCATTTCTATAGTCATCGTGCATGCTTTTCTCTTTACTCTGGTCACAGGGATTCTGATCTAGGGGCTAGAGTTACACTCAAGGAGTCTGACTCTGAGGAAAATAGCCGTTGTGAGTGAGCAGGGGCATGAGAAAGTCCTGGGCAGGACAATCCCCACTGGTGAGGCCACCGCAGGCAACGCAGAGTATGAAAGCCCTGTCTGTGTTGACTCCACAGCAGAGCCACATCATGGCTGAGCGCAATGTGCTGCTGAAGAATGTGCGACACCCCTTCCTCGTGGGCCTGCGCTACTCCTTCCAGACCCCAGAGAAGCTCTACTTTGTGCTTGACTATGTCAATGGGGGAGAGGTGAGTGGAACTGCAAAGGACTGCATGAGCCAGCTGCTAGCTGGGAGCGATCCATCCCGCCTGCCCGCTGTGCACCAAGCGCTGGGAGCAGCTCCCTGCATCTTGACAACAGACCCCCCCCCCCATTTAGTAGCTGAAAAAACTGAGTCTCAGGGAGGTGAGTCACTTCTCAGGACCAGCCAGTGCACACCAGGATTTGAATACAGGCCTGTCTGGCTTCATACCATGATGTTTTTTTGTTTTTCTCACCCAAACCCATCTAGACTCACCTTGAGAGACTGGGAAAGGTGAATCCTAAGAGGAGCTCTGTAGACACAATTTCCCCTGTTCCCAGTTAACATGTCATGCCATGGGGTAGAGGTTGCCTGTCACTATTGTAAGCAGAGACCTGAGCTACCTAGTGACCCAGAAGCAGAGCTGGGATCAGCTGGGTTCCCTCTTGGACTTTACTCTGTGTCACAAGATGAGATGACAGAATTTAGTGGGACTCCTCAATGACCCCAGATTTGACCTATGTGACCAAATGCCTTTATGTCTGATGCCAGGAGGTGAAGTTTTTCCTGAACCCCTAAGAGAAGGATTTTGCACACCAAGAAAATAGACCAAGAAGCCGGACACTGGTGGCTCACACCTGTAATCCTAGCTATCAGGAGGCTGAGGTGGGAGGATCACAGTTTGAAGCCAGCACAGGCGGGAAAGTCTGTGAGACTTATCTCCAATTAACCATCAGAAAACTAGAAATGGAGCCGTGACTCAAAGTGGTAGAGCACTAGCCTTGAGCAAAAAGATAGTGCTCAGGCCCTGAGTTCAAATCCCATGACTGATGAGAAGAGAGAAGGAAAGGGAAGTGAAGGGAGGGGAGGGGAGGGGAGGGGGAAAGAGAAGGGAGGGGAGAGGAGGGGAGGGGAAAGGGAGGGAAGAGAAGAGACCAAGAGCTTGGCCCTTGGGGAGATCTAACTTGGACTAAGTGTAACAAATTTCAGCTATGATTCATGCCATTAATCCCAGCTACTTGTAAGGTAGAGACCAGAAGGATCATGGTTCAAGGACAGTCAGGGAAAACACTGATGAGATCCCATTACAACAAAAAAGCTGGGTGTGGTGGCTTTTGCTTGTCACCCCAGCTAAGTAAGAGGTGTAAATAGAAGACTCAGTCCAGGCTAACCCAGACAAAAAGATGAGATGTTATTTGCAAAAGGGCTGAGGACATGGCTTAGGTGGTAGGGCATGTGTCTAGCAAGCATAAGGCTCTGAGTTCAAACCCAGCTGTGCCAGCTTCAAGTTACATGTGCTTAGACAAGTCATCTAGCTGTCCCACCCTCTACCCCCTACATGAAATTAGGACCATGTTGAAATCTTGAAGGTTGTCCTGATGGTGCAAGGCATGACTTGGAAGCTGGAACACTGAACAGGCTTTATCAGTGCTAACCAGTCTCCCCTCTTGCTGACTTCGGATATGGTGAATGGGCAATGGAACCAGTGTGCCCTCTTTTGCTATGAATACCCTGCAGTTGAGGTTGGGATGACCGAGCCATGAACCAAGTGAGGATCCTGTGGGCTCCTGGCCTATGCTAGGAGCTGGAAGCCAGCAACCTCTCTCACTGCCTTCTCCCCCAGCTCTTCTTCCACCTGCAGCGGGAGCGCAGGTTCCTGGAGCCCCGTGCCCGGTTCTATGCCGCTGAGGTGGCCAGTGCCATCGGCTACCTGCACTCCCTCAACATCATTTACAGGTGAGGCCCCCAGCTTAGGCCTGGAACAAGGCCCTTCTTGCTCCAACAGCCAGGCTTTGTATGAGCCATGAAATCCTGGTGACCTTGGGTTTTCGTCCCAGTGACTGGGATAGGACTGGAATGACCTCCTTCCTAAAGTCCCTTGGTCTCCCTGGGCTTTCCCTCTGCACTTTGGGGCTCCTATGAATAGTCCTTCCACCAGGGTCTGGGTCTCCAACCTCCCCAACCCCCCTCCCTATCACTAAGAGGCCATGACTCTAGTAGGATGTCTTCTCTTATTTTCTGCAGGGACCTGAAACCAGAGAACATTCTCTTGGACTGCCAGGTTGGTGAGAGTGTGGGTGACCATGAGTCTGTGTGCATAAGCATGCATGTATTTTGCATGCTGCACACTAATGGACATTATATGCACAGGAGACTGTACATACTCACAGATGTGTATACATATGTGTATATGCAAGGTTTGTGTGGAGTGAGGGTGGAGCTGGTGAGGGTTAGTAGATTTTGTTATTCTTCCATATCTTGGCCCAGGTTCCCTGGAAGCAGATACTGAGATGGGCAGGTGTGTGCAGGTCTATCAGGGAACACTCTGGAAAGATATCGCTTTAGGAAGTAGGGGTGGGGAAGACAGGGATGGGCAGAAGAAGCATTTCACCCACACTGTGGTTGCAAAGGTAGCCTCAGCTGATCTCACAGGGTTGATATCTGAGCTGGATAGCTCTTTTGCCAAAAGAGCCCTTGTCCCAAATTAAAGCAAGGAAGCTGGGCCTCTTGGCCCCTATTCTGCCCAGTCATTGTGTATTGATTGCCCCTAAGGAGGGACTTAACTTTGAACAAGGGATTTTCCAGTTATGGGGACTCTAGCAAAGGGGCCTGAGCAGATCCTTGTGATATTCATATCTTCTAGCTGCTACAGATGTGGTCACTTTCTGAGTCTCTAGCCCTCTGTCAAAGGGCATTGTAGCCCAGTAGGGACATGGTTCAGAGTCTGTGATGAGCTGTGGAGGACTATGAGATGCCATGTTCCTATCCTGTGCCTGCCCTGTAGAGCCTGTGATGACACCTAGTCTCTTAGCCCTGGGTCTGTGTGGAGCCTGGAGCCTGTATTTGTGCATCAGCCCCACAGCCAAGACTCTGGGCTTTGGATTAGGCCAGCCACACCCTCCGTTGTTTCTCTCCTCAGGGACATGTGGTACTGACAGACTTTGGACTCTGCAAGGAAGGTGTAGAGCCTGAGGAGACCACGTCCACCTTCTGTGGCACCCCTGAGGTAAACGTACACTCCTAGGAGAGGCAGGCTGGAAATAGATGGCTCCTGAACAGAGATAGCCATCAAGTTACCGCAGAGAGCCTCTCTCCATTCACCCAAGCACTTCCCAGAGCCAGCTGTGGCCAAGCCTTGGCTTTCACATCTGGGTAATGGCATCAGCTCTCAGGGTAGCTGGGACCTGGTCAGCTATGATGAATCTCTGTAGCACTGCTTCCCAATGGAAATAGATACAGATGTATGTATACCATTTCAACTTTTCCAGCAGCTACATTGAAAAGGAAAAAGAAATTGGGCAGGTCTGTAATCCCTCTACTTAGGAGGCTAAGGCAGAAGGATCAAAATTTTGAGGCCAGCCTGAGGCCAGGTAGCAAAACCTCATCTCAGAAAAGCAAACAGAAAAAACAAACAAACAAACAAAGTGAAAACACACAGGCAGGGGGTGGGGTGGAGGGAGGAGGTTAGTGATAGAACTAGCATGTGTGAAGCCCTGGGTCCCATCCCTCAAACCAGCAAAAGTTAGTTGATTAATTAATTAATTTAAAAATGCAAACAGGTAAAATTAATATACCATCAATATAATATTGTTGAAATCATTGTTTTTCTGAAGCTTTGGAGTCCAGCATGAATTTTTTAAGTCACAGCCCATCTTAATTTGGTTCAATCACATTTCACATGTTTAGTATCCACACATAGCCAGTGGCGGCTGTACTGATGACACTGGGGAAGGAGGGCCTGGCCTGAGGGTTCAGAGCAGGGCCTGCAAGTGTTAAACACTGGTTTGCGTCCCTCTTCCAACCACCAAGAGCCTGCAAGGTTAAAATTGTTCATCTCAGGAATTCCACATATCTATCTGTCCTTCCAACACAGCTTCCCATAGCCCTAAGGTTATAATCTTATCTTGAGCCAAGTATGGTAGGCATGCTGGTAATACTAGCATTTTGGGAGGATTGAGTCCAGACTAGCCTGGGCCACATAGCTAGAGAGAGAAAAAGAATGACAGAGAGATGAGGGGGGGGAGGAAGGGAGGGAGAGAAGAAGGAAGGAAGAAAAATCTTTTCTTGAACTCCTGCCTACCTGCCTACCAGTCTTGGACCTTGGGCCTGAAGGGGACCCCTGTGGCTCATACAGATACCATGGTAGGGGTAGAGAGCTGAGGCTTCAGTGCAGAACAGCTTCATTCTATGGGGGCCTGGGGTGAAACTTAAACTGGTGTATTCACCACATGCTAAACAACTGGGTTGGGTTTGGTATCTAAGTTAGACTCCTCTATCTAGTGCCTGGTAGCCCCTGGATAGGTGACTTCACTGAGCAGCAGCCATTGTCTCTGTGTATCTGTGTGTGTGTGTGTGTGTGTGTGTGTGTGTGTGTGTGTGTGTGTGTGTGTGTGTGTAAAACACTTGGTAAAGAAGTCCTTAAGCATGTCATTCATGCCATCCCTTCCCTGGATGCTGCCTCCATGGGAACAGGGGAGATGGACTCCTGGCTCGTATGGAGATGCATGGCCCCAACAACTTCTTTCTTCAATGATTCTGCCCCTGCTGCAAGCCAGGGAGCACCAACAAGAGTAATCACAAAGCTCGCTCTCATTGTTGGAGGTCTGGGCACATCCTTATCCCAGCCCAGTTAAATTTCTGGAGCTCCACTTCATGGAAGAAGAGACCAAGGTTCTAGGAAGTTAAATAACCTGCCTGAATCACACACCAACAGGTACTCAGGTCTGTGTGAATTCCTGGCAGAGATCCCACGCTGAAAGTCACCAAGCCCTTGGCTTTGGTAGAAAGCACAGCTCTTCTGCAAATTCTCTCCCAAGGTGTGCATGAACTCCTCTAGCAAGGTCATGTCTTTTCTCTCCTCTGTCCTATATTCCTATTTCTTAGGCTCCTCATGTAGTGTGCAGGATTTCCCAGGGTTTTCCTATTCCCAAGACACTGATAGCCTATTAGATACCCCTGTGCAAATTAGAAAGCAGACTTAATTAAAAAGGCATCCCTTTACACTTGATGCCAGTGGCTCAAGCCTGTCATAGCTACTCAGGAGGCTGAGATCTGAGGATGGTGGTACAAAGCCAATTTGGGCAGGAAAGTCTGTAAGATTTTTTATTTCCAACTAACCACCAAAAAAGCCAGAAGTGGAATTGTGACTCAAGTTGTAGAACACTAGCTTTGGAAAAAATAAGCTAAGGGATAGCTCCCAGGCCCTGTGTTCAAGCCCCAATACACTCTCTCTGTCTCTCTGTCTCTGTCTCTTTCTTTCTTTCACACACACACACAATTTTTAAATTTTTATTTTATTGTCAAGGTGATGTACAGAGGGTTATAGTAAGGTAGTGAGTACATTTCTTGTCAAACTCATTATCCCCTCCCTCATTTTTCTCCCACTCTCCTACCCTCCAATCTCCCCCCCCACACACACAAACAATTTTTTTAAAGATACTCTTTTAAACCATTATAAAGTTGCCAGATGTACTACTGAATTGCGGTTGGAACTTGGGGAGAGGGCTATAGTCTGGATGACAGCTCCTCTTAATCCTGTGGCTGGTAAAACTTCTGTAGGGTGCCTGGCATGTAAACAGTACAGGGCAGTTCTGGCTATCTCCTCAATGTCCCTGCAGAAATCACAGCAGGACCAACCCTTGCTTGATCTCCTTAAAGTGTTGTCTTTGCAGATGTAGGCTGAGGTCTGCTGAAATAAGTGTGTTTCTCTCATAGTACCTGGCTCCTGAGGTGCTTCGTAAAGAACCTTACGACCGGGCTGTAGATTGGTGGTGTTTGGGAGCTGTCCTCTATGAGATGCTGCATGGCTTGGTGAGTGGGGCTGGAAAGAGGGGCTGCTACGGGAGAGAAAGCTGGGAGAGCTGAGCTTAGCTGAGAGTGGTCTCCCCTCTGGGTGGCTTCCTCTAGCCCTACACAGGGAACTAAATGAACCACCTCTCTACCCCACATGAGAAAAGATGATGCCAAACTGTTATAAATATGTTCTCCAAGAACCACTGGAGTCACAACCATAGACACAAAAATAAAGAGTTGTCTTCACAATGCAAAATGTACTTCTGCAGAAGTTAAAAAATCTGGCAAGCAAGCCCAGGAGCAGGCAGGCCACTCCCTAATACAGCAGGCCTCACTCCTTTGGTTGAGCCCAGGTTCACGATCTGCTCGTGATTGGCTAGTTGGAATAGGGTAAAATGTGTTTACATGAGGTGACTTTGAAATAAGATGAACAGTTCACAAGTAATCTCAAAGTAGGCCCATACCCTCTGCTATTTCTTGAACAATCTGAAGCGTGTCTTAAGTTTATCTTGAAAAAAAAAAAACACTTTCAGACCAAACCTTACCTTTCAAAAGTCCTTCTTCATCACAAAGCAGTTGTCTTTTCCTTAACAAGAACCAAGTCACCATTTATACAGTTTCCTTTAATTATGTCTATTTCTTTATATTCATCAATGTAGAGACAAGTCCTACCTATTCCCTACCCCAAATTAACCCTCTGCAAATTCAGGTTCGTATTTCTAACTCCATAGGCTATTTTTGACACAGATCCAAACCCTCTAAGTCAATGTTTACCTTCCATCCCTGATCACCTTTCCTTTTCCTGCTTACCCGAACCAATTGTTTGTAACTATGGTTTCTATGTTTTTGTGAGCTTTAGTGTCGGATGTACCCAGAACAAAGCTGTGGAGATGGGTTACTTATTTGTGTAGGCAGCTACCAGGAGCGGAGCCATAGGGCATGATGAGGACAGGGTTTGTGGCTGAGCTCCATGTCAGACCACCACAACTCTTATCACATTTGCATCAGCTTGGCTTGTAGTGTAGCAAGCAACCCACCTCTAACATCCTCATAAATCTCCAGTGGTGCAGGATAATGTGCATGCTTTAACTTTGTCAGTCCAGTGGTGTAATGTGGGACTCCCAACAGCACATTTACAGAGCTGGAGTTCCCAGAAAAGCTAAAGGTTGTGAGCCGGGACCCATGTCTCAGGGCAGGCAGGATGACAGTGAGTTGGAGGTACATGATCTCACATTCCTCTAGGTTCAGGCCCTGGAGGGCGCTTTGAGGGTCTCAGAACTGAGGTCCATCAGGCAGAGCAAAGCAGAAACTTTTTTCTTTTTTGTCAGTCATGGGGCTTGAATGCTGGGCTTGTGTGCTCTTCAGCTCAAGCCAAGTGCTGTACCACTTGAGCCACAGCACCACTTCTAGTTTTCTGGTGGTTTATTGGAGATGAGAGTCTCACGGACTGCAATCCTTAGATCTCAGCCTCCTGAGTAGCTAGGATTGCAGGCACGAGCCACCAGCGTCCGGCCAAAGCAGAAACTTTTAAGCAACACACTTTGATAGAAAAAGACAGTGTTTCTCATAAAAGGGAAACCAACGGTTTATACGATTATATCTTTTTCTTCTTTTTTTTCTTCTCATATCTTTTCTTTTTTTTTTTTTTAAGATGGTATTGAGCCAAGATATAAGACACAGTCTGGTTAAATCTTCCCTGCTACTCAGCTTGCTCCTTGAGACCCTCATTCCTTATTTGCTTTGCCCCCTGTCTCCCCAGCCACCCTTCTTCAGCCAAGACGTGGCTCAGATGTATGAAAACATTCTGCACCAGCCACTGCAGATCCCCGGGGGGCGGACAGTGGCTGCCTGTGACCTCCTGCATGGCCTTCTCCACAAGGACCAGAGACAGCGGCTGGGCTCCAAGGCAGACTTTGTGAGTGGCCTGCAGCAGAGCCCTGGCCCCTGGAGGACTCTCAACTTCCTGAAGAAAGATAAGCATATCAGTGTGCTTCCTGCTGCCCTCTAAAAGCAAGAGCTGCCAACACAGTCTTCTGGGAAGTTCTTAGTCCTGGAAGCAGACTACTTTCTTTAGTCTCCTTATTTGAGTTAAGCGATATATGCTGAGCACCAACTGTGTGTCAGCATTGAGCTGAGTGCTATGATTTTAAGGGGCTTGATCTCTGCCTTTATTAAAGAAGATGACAAAACATAGATCATATACAGTTACCACACAGGGTGATGAATGTCAGAAGGAAAGGACAATAGTGGGAGGGGATCACCTTTTGGTGTGGTCCAGGTAGACCCTCTCTGAGGAGTGACAGTTATGTTGATATTGGAGAGTTGTCAGGTGTTTTGAGCAGGGGACTAGCATGACCAGATTTAAGTTTTTAGAAGCTTTCTGTGCCTAAGTTTGAATTGGACTCTTTTTACAAATAGGTGAACACTTTACCTTGCCAGACCCCAACCTGGGCACTTAGGATATAAAGATAAATAATTCACAGTCTGTCCCTGTAATGTGTTAAATTTTTTTTAATTAAAGTATCATTAAAAAAAAAATAACCCTGGAAGTGGCGCTGTAGCTCAAGTGGTAGACCGCTCGCTTTGAGCTGAAGAGCTGAGGGACAACGCCCAGGCCCAGAGTTCAAGCCCCACGACCGAAAAAAAAAAAAAAATAACCCTGGCAGCCAGGCATGTACCAGTGGCTCACATTGTGATCCTAGCTACTCAGAGACTGAGATCTGAGGATCCCAATTTAAAGCCAGCTGGGGACAGAAGATCCAAATGACTCTAATTTCCAATTAACTAGTAAAAAGCCAAAGGCGTGGCTCAAGTGGTAAGACCACAAGCCTAGTGAAAAAGCCAATGGACATCAGGGGACACACACAGAGACACACAGACACACACAGACACACAGACACAGGCACACACACACACACACACACACACACACACACACACACACACACACACACACACACACACACACACACACACACACACACACACACACACACACACACACACACACACACACACACACACACACACACACACCCCAGTACTCAGGACTTGAACTCAGGAAGACTGAGTTCAAGTTCAGCCTGGACAACATTGAGATCCTATGTCAATTTATTTTAAATTATACATCAAAATAATCTGGTTCTTTAACATAAGATCATTTGATTTTACATAAAGAAGGCTGCAGTACAGATGCCCCTTAGTAACTGGGAATTGGCTTGAGGGATGCCCTCAGGATAACAAACTTGCTAGCTCAAGAGGCTGAAATCTGAGGATCACGGTTCAAAGCCAGCCCAGCCACGAAAGTCCGTTAGACTTTTATCTCCAATTAACCATCAGAAAACCAGAAGTGGTGCTATGGCATTTGCCTTGAGCTGAAGAGCTGAGGGACAGTGCCTAGGCCTAGAGTTCAAGCCCCACACCTACAAAAAAGAAAAACAGAAAAGAAAAAGAAAAGAAAAGATAACAAACCTTTGTAAGCACATAGTAAGGGCTTTGTAGGCATGTTTCCAAAAGCCCAGCATGCCAGATAGTGAGAGATATAATGGTATTTAAGGTACTGGTCCAATCCTTCCCTAATCAGCTTACAAAACAAGAGCTTCTAGAAAGCTCCTTAAGGGAGGTGTGTAACTTGCAAGATAAGCTGTGTATGCATGCAGACCTCAATTCAAAGGGTGCAAATGGTACTCAAGTTCCTCTTTTCCTTCTCCTCCAGTTCTCAGCTTAGCAGTAACAGAAATTAGCAGTTTCTTTGGTGTTCTGCAGCTATTTGGGACCTGGCTTTTTAAGTAGCTGCGTGGGCAGTTCTGATGTAGGGAATGAGAGCACTATCCTGTAAGAAACATCCTGTAGAGGTACAGTCCTACTGGGAAGGAAGGAGGTTGGTGCCAGAGTTGGTATTGATTAGGAAAGATTAGGAAAGAAGAGCTCAAATTCCTGGGAATGTGCAACTTTTCTTGGAGGTTTGTTTCGGAACTTTCCTGTTGCTTCTTTGGTCTATTTTGTCTGGATTGAATTCTGGAAGACTCAAGATGTCCTGATGTGGAGTGGGAGGGCAGGTTCCTCAAGTTCTTCCCTGTCCATCCCCTCCCCCAGCCTGTTAACTCCCTCCTTCACTGACCTTCCTCCAGAACCCTAGCAAAGTATGGGCTCTACTCAGTAAGCCAATGCTACGGGAAAGGTTGGGGTTCTGGATGATGTGGGAAGTGGGAGGCCTACCTACAGAGCTCTCTCTTGGCCCAGGAAACCAGCCAGAACTGCAAGGGACTGTCTCCTCTGACCACCTGCTGGTATAATTGGGGCTTTGAAGGATCTGGGAAGTGGGGAGGCAGGAAGCCCCTATAGCTACTTCTGATCAGTGCCTTCTTCCTGTAGCTGGAGATAAAGAACCATGTGTTCTTCAGTCCCATCAACTGGGAGGATTTGTACCACAAGAGACTGACTCCACCCTTCAACCCAAATGTGGTAAGAGGTCTCAGCACTCCAGATTTGGGATTCCTAGGGCTGGTGAAAGCTTGGAGGGTATCCGGGCCAACTCTCTTTGTACAAGTAGGGACACAGGGGGCCCAAGGGACACAAACTGAGTTAGTGGTAGAACAGTTGCCTCCTCCCTCACCCCACCCAGCTCTGCAGTGATGAGCCAGACTACCATTCCAGTATCTTTAGAATGGTAACTAACCCTCCTAATAGAGTCTTTAGGTTTTAAAGTGCTCTGTGTCTCCTAGTACACCCAGGCAGAGCCACATCCTAATGACATATTCAGACTTTTTCCTGATGATAAAGTTAACCTGTATTCCTTGCAGGAAGTGTGTAAAAACAGAAGTGTAAACAGAAGTTTATACGCTTTGTATCTCACTACCCAAGGGAAATCAATATTGGCATACTTCTGGAACTTTTTATGTGTGTATGTGTGTATCTCTACAACTTTGTCCTCTAGTATCTATGGGATAATAAAGTTCCTTATATAAAACGGCCTAGAATTTGCATATGACCTACATGTACCATATACTGTAAACTATCTTTAGATGATGTATAATACCTAGCACAATGTAAATATTATGCACATAATTATTACACTCTATTGTTTAGGGAATGACAATAAAGTTTGTACATGTTTGGTACAGTTAAAATTTTTTTTTTTACATTCATGGGGCCTGAACTCTGGGCCTGGGCGCTGTCCCTCAGCTCTTCAGCTGAAGGCTAGCACTCTACCACTTGAGCCACAGTGCCATATCTGGCTTTTTCTGCTTATATGGTGCTGAGGAACCGAACCCAGGGCCTCATGCATGCAAGGCAAGCACTCTACCACTGAGCTACCTTCCCAGACCCAAGTTAGGATTTTTTTTCCAGAACATTTTAAATTTGCAGTTGGTTGTACCTATAGCTTTAATGATCATGGAAGCGGAGCTCTGATCCTGTCCATATCTGTACTTATATCTATAGAACCTATATAATCTTTCCACTTTTGGCTTAAGAACTATTAAAGTTTTCTATGACATATAAGGTTTTATTTGTCATAGAAAACTTTAATAGTGGCTTGCATTGAGTGTGTGTGTGTGTGTGTGTGTGTGTGTGTGTGTGTGTGTATGTGAATGGGGGAGGGGCTTGAGCTCAGGGCCTCTAGCTCTTGCTTGGCTTTTTCACTCAAGGTTAATGATCTTGAAACTCATCCTTGGGCTGGGACCACTATACCCTGCAATTCGTGTGAGGACAAGCATGGCCTGTGTACTTCTTTAAAAAAATTTTTTTTTTGTCAGTCATGGGATTTGAACTCTGGGCCTAGCCGCTGTCCTGGAGCTCTTCAGCTCAAAGCAAACACTCTACTACTTGAGACACAGTGCCACTTCCAGTTTTCTGGTTGTTAGTTGGAGATGAGTCTCATGGACTTTCCTGCCCAAGCTGGCTTTGAACTGTGATCCTCAGATCTCAGACTCCTGAGTAGCTACGATTACAGGTATGAGCCACCAGCGCCCGGCTTGGCCTGTGTACTTCTATAGTCCAAGACTTGTTATGTTAAGGCACATCTGTATAACAAGTCACCACAAAACCAGGAATCTTTGAACAGCCACCTTCATTTTGTTCAGGTTCCAAGGGTTAGCTTGGTGGCTTTTGTCAGTCTGGGCCAGGTGGCTAGCCACTCTCTGCAGTGCCTTCACATGTCTGTGGTCATAGTGGGGCAGCTGGCAGCTGATAATCTAGAATTGCCACACTCAGGTCTCCTTCCTGAGGCCTCTCATTCACCAGCAAGCCAGTCTGGGCTTGTTCACAGGGTTGGCTTCAAGATTCCAACTACATCAAAAGAACTAACTCCCAAAGTGCATTTTCCCAATCTCTGCTTGGGATCTCCTTTGACAGTGTCCCATTAGCTTAAGCAAGTCACTTGGCTAACCAATGTTATAAACATGGAGAAATGTACTCTTTGAGTGGGTGGTGGATGGAAAAGTTGTGATCATTTTTTGTAATCTCCTACCCAGGTCTTCCCTCTCTACCACATTGTCTTGTCTTAACACCCTGAATTATGTACTTATATACCCATGCTTGTTATCAGTTCTCTTGTCCTCTGCATAATGTCAGCTCCTTGGAAGAGAAGCTTGCTCTGTTTTCCTCCTTTATCACCAATGCTGTGAACAGTGCCTGGAAAGCATTCAGGAAGTATATAATCACCTGACTTGTCCGAGGATTGAGGTGAAGCAGCCAAAGCATTAGAGCAATCAGCCATATGGAATGACATGATTCATGTAAATGCATGGAAACTTAAGAGTTCAGTCAGGATGAGCAGGGGGTACATGGAGCGGAAGCTAGGCATCCCTTCCAAAGCTCTGGATGTGTTAGTTCTGACTATAGTGATTTCTTCTTATTGTTGGCTTTTATGGACAGGCTGGACCTGCGGACTTGAAACACTTTGATCCCGAGTTCACCCAGGAAGCTGTGTCCAAGTCCATCGGCTGTACTCCTGACACTGTATCCAGCAGCTCTGGGGCCTCAAGTGCATTCCTGGGATTTTCCTATGCACCAGAGAACGATGACTTCTTGGACTAAGAGAGAAGCAGCTGTGAAGCCACTGAGGCCACTAGTAACAGAGGGGATTACCTTCAGCTCCTAGTCCCACACAAAGAGCTGGATGCTTAAACAAGAAATGGGTCTTTTTTTTTTTTTTTGGCCATCCCAGGGACTTGAACTCTGGACCTTAGTGCTTATCCTTGAGTTTCTTCAAAGGATAGTGCTCTACACCTTAAGCTACAGTGACATTTCTGGCCCTTTCTGAGTAGTTTATTGTAGATAAGAATCTTATGGACTTTCCTGCCCAGGCTGGCTTGGAACTGCAATCCTCAGATCTCATCTTCCTGCGTAGCTAGGATTACAGGCATGAGCCACTGATGTCCAGGTGGGGTCTTTTTTTTCCCCCAGCAGGTAAAAGAATGTTATTTGGACCCAGACTAGTAAGATAGTTCATCAGATACTCTGAGGCTCTTTGTATTTCTACTCCCTCCTTCTTAACAAATGGCTTCTGTGTTCCTTTTTTATCCCCCCCCCCCCCCAACCTCGTGATTTACTACCTAAGAAAGGCAACTAAAGAGAAGACAAGACTTATATTTTACTCATAGTTTCAGAGGTTATAGTCCATGGTCATCTGGCTGTGAACTTGAAGCAAGTCTGAAATACCATGGCCTAGACCACTGCTTATCTCAGGATAGCAGGAAGCAGAGAGAATGGAAGAGATTTGGAATAAAGTGTAACCTTTAAAGGTATGTTCACAGTGACTGCTTTCTCCAACAAGGCCCCCATTCTCCTAGTTTCCATGATTTCCTAATAAGGCTATCAAATTGATAAAGTCAGAGTCCTCAATCCAATCACTTCCCAAAAGCTCCACCATCTGGCAACTCAGCCTTTAACATATGAGCCTTCCAGTGACATTTCAGATCCAAGCTATAACAGCTTCTAATATTAGGATTACTACATTATCACAGTTACCAGCACTCCAGTCACCACTTTTGTGTTCTGGGAAAGTAAAAAAAGTAGGATGGAGGAACTAAAGTACAACATTAAAGAGTTTTCTAGTTGGGCTTAGGTAGCTCAAGCCTGTAATCCTAGCTACTCAGAAGGCTCAGATCTAGGACCTCTGTTCAAAGCCAGCCAGGACAGGAAAGTCCATGAGACTCTTATCTCCAATTAACCACCAAAAAAAAAACCAGATGTGGAACTGTGGCCCAAGTGGTAGAGTGCCAGCCCTGAGTGAAAAAGCTATGGGACAACACCCAGGCCCCAAGCTAGATCAGGAGGAACTGCTGCTAAGCTTTGACCTGTGCTGAGAATATTCAAAGAGTCTGGTGTTCATGTTAATGAACCTTAGTAAATGCCAGATATGGAAAATGAAGAGGCAGACCAAATACCCAACTCCCCAAAGCAAAATCCAAAAGTGTAGTTGTCAAAAACATGAAAATACTGTTGAAAGCACATAGCAAGCTTTGGGCTATGAAACACACAGTGGCTCCATCAAAGATGGTAAAGCTCGCTTTTTTTTTTCACCAGAATAGGAAATAAAAATGAAAAAAAAAATCTGCTAATGAATTGATCGTGGTACACCTATGTTTATTGAGCACATTCTAAGTGTTCTATGCATTGCCTCTATCCTCAATATAAACCAGTATTCAGAAATCATTAACTCCATTTTACAGACAGGAAACACTGACTCAAATACATCCAGCAGCTTGCTCAAGGTCACCGAGCTAGCACAAGCCGCAGCCAGGAATTGAATTTGGAGGAGTTAATGTAAAATCCTTGCTCTTTCTACCTCTGGTAGGAGAGCAGTGGAAGAGGTGTTCTGGGTGGGTGCTTTTTCCCTTTTATAGTAAACACTGTGCAAGAAACAGGCAGAAAGTTCCTAAGAGTCCCAACTATACATCACTTTCATTTGCATCTCTGACTGTCCAATTTGTCCAATTTAAACAATGCAGCATCCTCAGAATTTTCTGAACTGAGGACATTGCTCTGTTGTGGTGGTGGTGGCAGCAGTGATTTTTCAAATCATCCTCTTCTTCAATTCCAATGTGTAGTTGTAAAATGGCAAGACAAGTTGTGTCTGTGCGTTTTAACATTCTAAGCTCGTACTTTGTACATGCTGCATATAAACAAATGTTCACTAAAACAGTTGAAGGATTTTTGCAACTTGTCTGACTGAGCCTAGAGGCTGCCAGAGCGTCCGGTGCAAATCCGCAGCCTTCTCGGGGCAGGCAGAGAACGTTCCCTGAGAAGAAGGGTGGCCTGTTTGTGGCTCGGTTCTCCTGACCGTGGCGGGCAGCCTGTACGTGGTAGGAGCCCTTCTGCCCCCAGCCATTGTCTTAACGATTACGATTACTGTGATAATGTAATCCTCTTTCAGATCTCAGTTCACCAGGGGCGCCATTCTGACTTAGCTCAAACCCTTCACAACTCCCAAAGACAGTTTATAGTTGTACATTTTGGCACGATCTGACTGAAGTCTCAGTCCCTGTTAGGGTAAGATCAAGAGGATAAAAGGAAAGCAGACAAGAGATCTCAGTAGATCCCAACAGGCTTTAATCATTGCTGCAGAGGGACTCCATGTAACACCGAGTAGGGTCGGAGAAACAAGGGGCGGGAGTAGGGGGTTTTAGGGCTTTTAAGTATAGACAGGGAATGCGTTCTTAGAACGTCCTTGTATTTGTAGCGGAGTATACAATGTGCTTGCAGCTGTGGCAGACGGTGCACTTTCGGATAAGGTCGGGGGTGAAGTTTTGCTGAGAATGACTGAAGGACAGGGTTAAGATTCCGGGGAGATCTTCAGGAGGGGTCCCTGGGGGAGGGTGGTCCGTGGGCCGTGGGAGCCACATAGAGTTAGGAGAGCAACGCAGATTCCCATCAACCCGCCCCCCGCCCCATCCCCCGGGCAGGCAGGTCACTGTCATAATCCCGGGGCTCAGGGCTGGCCGTGGAAGCTTGAAGATGGAGGACTAAGAACATTTTGCATTACCATTTGCCCCATTACATTCGTCCAGCCCTTCCGAGAAGTCTCACCGCCGTTCCCGGTCAAATGGTTCCAGCAAGGGCTGTAAGGCTACTGTAGGTCAGATCGCCGGATACCAGAGCCCGCCGCAATCCCGGCCCAGACCTTCTGCGCCCGTGCCCTGGGATCGAAGCGGCGGAGGGGGCGGCGGAGGAAGCCCTCAGTGTTCTCCTTCATGGTGGCCCGAAACTTGGGTCCGTACATCTTATCATTTTTGTACATTTTCAATAATAACTCTTATTAAACAATATAGTGAATGGACTCCTTTTCTTTCCGGGAATGAATCCTCGTTGTTTTTATGTTTACCCCCACCATCCGTAGTAATGGTACAGTCCGGCAGTAGCCCCGCCCCTACCCCCCAGCCTCTGAGGCCTGCAGGCATCCGCTCGCTGACGTCATCACGCCGCTGCGGAGGTCGCTTCGGAGCGGGGCCCCGCCTCCTCAGCGCGCAGTGGTGCCTCCGTCGTTGCTAAGCGGCCTTGGATACCTGGCGGCGGGATGTTGGGCAGCGTCAGGTGAAGATGGTGGTCACCGGGGCTCAGGTAAGATGGGCTCCGACGGTCATGAGCCAGTCTCGGCATTGGGGCGACCTGGGGGCTAACGACGGCCTAGCCGGACTGCCTTGGAGACCTCCAGGCCAGGATTCTGGAAAGTCCGAGTCTGTTGGGGTCGGGTGGGTAGGCCGGAACCCTGTCCGCGCCCGTGGGTGGAAGTCCCCGACGGGGCAAGGGGCCTCAGACCAGTCTGTTACTACTGCCGCGCTTCCATCCCTCATCTGGCAAAATACCGATTAAACCGGTGTCGAGAAAATAGTTGGACAGTGTACCCAAAGTGGCTTTCTTTTTATGTTAGTTCTATGTTTAGTTCTCTTCCTATCCTTAAGGGTACTCATTTCTTGAGTAATTCTGATAAGAAAGCACCCATATCTGCTACTGTCCCCTGGGACTGAATTCCAAAAGCTATTAGCTGGACGTATGGCCTTCATCGCCCTCTTCCTCCAACAGCCATATACAAAACCCAAAAGACTTTTATTTCCTTTGACTGGGAATCTCTCCTCCATCAGAAATGATCATAGTAGAAGCCGAAATATGTCAACCCAGATAGTAAGATGGTCGAGTTTAATAGTGTATAATCTTGCAACAGGTCTTGCTAATCTAAGTTGTATTTTTAAATCAGAAAACTGGAAAAAGCACAATACATATTGTGTGCACAGAACAGTACAACATGAAAACAAGCATGCGTGTAACTGGAAAAAGATAGCTGTGTCAAATAGTGAAATCATGGAGGTTTTTTTTTTTCCAACTGGACAAAATGTTTAAAAAATTACCACTGAATTCCAGGCATAGTGGTTCATGCCTGTAATCTCAGCTACTTGAGTCAGAGACTGAGAGGAATGCAGTTGGAGTTCAGAAGTTAGTGAGACCTCCATCTCAATAAAGAAGCCTGGCATGGTGGTTCAAATCTGTATTCCCAGCTATGTGGGATGTGGCTGCTGGAGGTAGGTAGAAGGATCACAGTCTGAGAATGGGTTGGGCAAGGATACTGGACTCTACTTTAAGAATAACTAAAGCAAAAGGGCTGGGACATGGCTCAATGGGTAGAGCTCAAGTGATAAAGCACAAGTGTGAGGCCCTGAGTTCAAACTCAGAACTTTGAAAAAATAATGCTTACATGATGGGATGAAGGAAGGAATTGTGATAGAGTAGTAGGCTGTTACAATAAGGGTTACTTACACACAGCACTATGATACCAAGATACCAGCAAAAAAAAAAAAAAAAAAGCAAACTGATAGTTTAGAAAGCAAAAACAAAGATAAGGGGGACTACTGTATTTTATTGGTAAAGATTAAAAAAAAGATCAGAAATAGGATGGTATGGAAGCAAATGCATTAGTGCTAATAGAAATGTAATTTATTATAAATTTGTATCTTGTTTACTCAGCCATTCAGCAGATAAGAACTTATTCTGACAAGTATACAAAATGCATGAAAACTTCATGTTTGAAAATGAAGCTTTTAGTATTTTACAAGCAAGATAGAAAAAAGATAAATCAATCAGTATTTTTCACTTTCAACCTTTTGAGAATTGTAAGCATTTTACAAGTAGGTTGCAATTTTGTGTACTATTCCTTTATAAATTAGAGGTGGAAGCATCTACTTGTTCCTCGACTGCCTTTCTTTGGAATTCTTTTTCTGATCTTCCCTTCTTTCACAGGTAACCATGGATAAGGAGGTCCGAAGCACCATCCTTTTCAATGCCTATAAAAAGGAGGTGTTCACCACCAACAGTGGCTACAAATCCTTGCAGAAAAGACTTCGCAGCAACTGGAAGATTCAGAGGTGAACCTGACTATGTGTATTGTTGTCTCCCCCTCCCCCCTTTTTTTTTGTCAGTTGTGGGGCTTGAACTCTGGGCATGGGCACCATCCTTCAGCTCTTCAACTCAAAGCTAGTGCTCTACCACTTGAGCCACAGTGCCATTTCCAGTTTTCTGAGTGGTTTATTGGAGATGAGAGTCTCAAGGACTTTTCCTGCCTGGGCTGGCTTTGAACCTTGATCCTCAGATTTCAGCCTCCTGAGTAGCTAGGATTACAGGTGTAAGCCACCAGCACCCGGCTTTGTTTTCCCTTCTAACTGGTGATGACAGACTACTAGTAAAACTGAAAAGTATTCCTCTTTAAATTCTCTAGGTGGGAGAAATTCAGTGGGTCTAACGTTTGCCTTTAAATCATATTTTCAGCTTAAAAGATGAAATCACATCTGAAAAACTAATTGGGGTGAAACTCTGGATTACAGCTGGGCCAAGAGAAAAATTTACTGCAGCTGAGGTAAGATATACCCATAAAGAAGAAATATAGTAGCTCAGTATATTGGCACATGCTTGAAATTCTAGCATTCAGGAGACTGAATCAGGAGAATCAAGAATTCAAGGCCAGCTTGGGCTGCATGGAAGGCCCTGTTTTCAAAAGAAAAGAAGCATGGAGAGATGGTTAGGAACACGGGTCTGAAATCCCCTTTGCCCCTCCCTGTGTTGCTTATGACAGGCACTTCATTTTTTTTCCATTGTGGAATTGTGATGATCCATACTTCTTTGTGATATTTTTGCTTTAAAATTGGACTTCTTACATTTTGTTTCATAGACTAAATAAGAAACAATGAGGATGTGAAAATAATTTGAATCCTCTTTACCGTTGGGGAGTATAATAGGTGAAACCACTAATGCAAAATAATATGGCAGTTCCTCACCAAAATTAAACATAGAATCCTGCCATGATCCACATTATCATTCTAGGTCTATATCCAAAATAATAGGAAGCAAGATCTTAAGCAATTTGTACACCATGTTCAGAGCTGTATTTTCACAATGGCTGAAAGGTGGACATGGCACATGTATTTATTTACAGATGAGTGTAGAGCAAAAAGGAGTATTTACCTTACTGTGGAATATTATTCAGCTTTAGAAAGGAAGAGGGCCAGGGTAGCTCAGTGGTGAAGTACATGCTTAACATACTCAAGGCCCTGGGTTCAAACCCCAGCACCAAAAAAAAAAAAAAAGAAGAAGAAATCCTTACACAGACCAGAACATGAATGAGCTTTGAGCATGTTATGCTAAGTCACCTTATGGTATTTGTCATTCATTAAAAGACAAATGTTGTCTGATTCTACTTCCTAGAGTAGTTAGTTGAATTCAAAGAAACAGAATGGAATGGTGGTTGCCAGTCTTGAGAGAGAGGAAAATGGGGTGTTGTTTCTGTTTTGAAAGATGAAAAGAGTCCTGGAGATTCGTTACACCACAGTGTTGGTGTGTTTACCATTGTTGAATGGTAAAAATTAAGCCGGGTGCCAGTGGCTCATGCCTATAATCCTAGCTACTTAGGAGGCTGAGATCTGAGGATCATGGTTCAAAGCCAGCTTGGGTAGGAAAGTCTGTGAGCCTTATCTCCAATAAACTACTCAGAAAAGTCTGGAAGTGGCACTGTGGCTCAAGCAGTAGAGTGCTAGACTTGAGCACAGAGAGTCTCAAGGGCAGAGCCCAGGCACTGAGTTCAAGCCCCATGACTGGCAAAAAAAAAAACAAAAAACTTCCATCTCAGCAGTCCTTGCCAGGAATATACCTTCTTCCTCTACAGGAGTGGGAAACCTTTTTAATGCTAATGGCCATTTAGATATTTATAACATCGTTGTGGGCCAAGGGCAGCTAACAAGAAGCAATATGGCAATATGTGTTTATCCTGTCATGAACCATATGTTTTCAAGGCCTTATATAGTCTGTAGGTTGAGCATTCCCTACCCCTACTTATGTATTCAGAAATTAAACCATACAGAACATACTTTGTATTAAACAGAAAGTGGAGTTAGATTCTAGGTTCAGTTGTTGGGTTTTGCTTATTTTTTTTTTATTACCTCTATGACTTTCTAGACAGACATTCAAAATTGTAGGACATTTCTTCTCTGGACTAGCCTAAACATTTGTAGGACATTTAGCATGCCTTTCCCTACCCTTCGCTTTTAGACATTAATATTGTGACAGTTAAAAATAATGACGTGATAAATGTCTTAAGTGCCTCCTGTGAGAGTAACAGCCTGGATCATACCATGTCAATAACATAAAGATAGACAAGCTTGCTTGCTTGCTATGACCAGCCAGAGTACAATAGATATTTAGGACTATTGGAAAAGGAGTTTGATAAGAAGTCAAAAAGAAAAAAAGATTGAATCTAGGTTTAGTCCTGTGTAGAGTTCAGGGTCCATGCAATTATGCCTTACTTCTTCCAAAATGATTTATTAGAGATCTTTTATGAGGGATAGTGACCTCAGTGTCATCTCTATGACCAACACTAGGGAACAGAATCAAATAACATGGTCCTGCTCACAAGGAACTGATAGTATAGGGGAAATGGAGGAAGTTGGTGATAACAATGTTCTAAGTGCCATAGTTCCACAGAAGCACAGAAAAGAGGCATTAGATGATAAGGCCCAGAGAAAATGCCTTTGAACTGATTTTTTGAACTAAATTATTTAAAAATCTTTGATTCTTTCGTTGTCCATATTGTGGGTAAGGTGAGGGGGAGACATCCAGAGAGTGTGCAAGAGTGAAAGGGCTGAGCTGGAGCAAAGCTGGGCTGGACCAGGGGTTCCCAAAGCGGCTGCATGCAAGGGACCACTGAGCTATAGAAGGAAATGGTATCTCTTATCTGTGCTTTTCTTATCCTTGAGAGTTCCTTTTGAGGAGTGTGTTTTAAATTATAATCTATACAGGCACACTCATTGGTGTGCACTTCACATTCTTTGCTGGTAGAGTGTTTAGTGAAGAATGTTAGCTATTGGTCTGGACCTCAGTTCCCAAGGCTTTCTCAAAAGGCTGGGTTAACAAGATTAGGTTATAGTTCTCTGTCCCTTTAGGCTTTGTGAAAGCAAGAGAGCTTCCCAGTAGAAAGGAGGCAAGTTGTATTTGTCACTGTGGTTTAGTCATTTGATGACCTTGAGCAGAATTCCTTCCTTTCTGGGATGATATGGAATGCTTTCTCATGGATACCCTTGGTGGGCAATGAGGGGAAGGGATGGTCTATATCAGTGGTCCTCAACCAGAGGAGGTTTTGCTTTTCTCCTCCCAACATGAGATTTGGCAACACCTCGTGAGGGGTTTCCTTACCAAGGAACCGTATCTAGTAGGTAAGACCAGGAATGTTGCTGAAAGGTGATCAGTGAGCCTTCATTAGCTTATAGATGGCCACTTCTGGTTTGCTGACCAGATAGTTAGCTTTGGAAATGGTAATTAATTTGAGTATTTTGTAGTTTTATGTTCAAAGACAAGCTTGGAGATCCTGTGTACATAGTAAATTTTTTATTATACTGTATTTTCATTTTAAAGCCTTTTTGAAGTGCTTACTTTTTAGCTAGTTACGGTCTTAGTCATAGTACATGTATTTTGGACAAAAATCTGCACATATTCATAGGTTGATTTTTTTTTTCTTTATGTAGTTTGAAGTTCTAAAGAAGTACCTTGACAGTGGTGGAGATATCCTTGTGATGCTAGGAGAGGGTGGAGAATCCAGATTTGACACCAATATTAACTTTCTCTTAGAAGAGTATGGAATCATGGTGAATAATGGTAACTATTATTGATTAATTGATTGATTTTGTCAGTTGTAGGACTTGAACTCAGAGCCCAGGCACTGCCCTTGAGCCTCTTTGTGTTCAGGACTAGCACTCTACCACTTGAGCCACAGCACCACTTCCAGTTTTTGAGATAAGTGTCTTATGGAAGCTTTTCTGCCTGGGCTAGCTTTAAACCATGATCCTCAGGTCTCAGCCTCCTGAGTGGCTTGGATTATAGGTGTGAGTCACCAGTGCCAAGTAGTAACTATTATTTTTAATTAGAGGCAGTGATTTCCAATTTATCATGCATATTATAATCTTCTGGGTTCACAAGTACAAGGGAAAAGCCCTGGGATGCGATTACATGGTCTAGAATTCTGGGCTCACCAGTAGTTTGGGTCTTGGGCCTAGGTACAAGATAAAATGGGAGGAGGGATGCCAACAGAGCCCCATGGGACCTTTCAGGTCAAAATTGTATAGGTCTGTGATATTCTGCTTGCTTCTAATCTAAAATGAACTTTCTTTTTTTTTTTTTCCTCCTGTAAGATGCTGTGATTAGAAATGTTTATTTCAAGTATTTCCATCCTAAGGAGGCTCTGGTTTCCAATGGTGTGCTGAATAGGTAAGTAGATAAAAAGCAAAAATGTCTTTAAAAAATTTTCATTATTTTGAGTAGTCGTACAAAGGGGTTTAATTTCAACAAGTCAGACTATGAGTACAGTGCATCCTGATCAATGCCACCTCTGCTGTCTTTCCCAATCTCATCCATAGAAATGTCTTTACAAGTGGCTTTCATATCTTCTCACATATTCTTTTCAGGGTCATTTCTTTTTCTTTTTTTTTTTTTTGGGTCCGGTCGTGGGGCCTGAACTCTGGGCTTGGGCACTGTCCTTCAGCTCTTCAGCTCAAGGCTAAGGCTCTACCACTTGAGCCACAGCGCCACTTCCGGCTTTTTTTTTTTTTTCTTTTTGCTTATGTGGTGCTCGGGAATCGAACCCAGGGCCTCATGCATGCAAGGCAAGCGCTCTACCACTGAGCCACCTTCCCAGCCCTCTTTTTCTTTTTCTTTCTTTGGCAGTGCTAGAGTTTGATCTTAGGGCCTTGTGCTTTGTGAGCTGATACTATTGCTGAGCCATGCCTCCAGCCTATTTTCACTTGCCATTCATGTTTATGCCTGAGCCATAATCCACCAACTCCAGGCTTCTCATCATTACTTGGATCACAGAAGCACATCCACTTCCCTTGTCCACTTTCTTGTCTGTTTGCTTCATTTTATCTTGTCACAACTTAATAGATTACTACTTATTCATCAAATTATATTCCTCCCATCTTTTGAAACCTTTTATCAATATACTTTCTGTAGAAACCTTGCCCAAATGGGTTTAAAATAAGGATACTTTATTGGTTTGTGTAATCGAAGGTCCCAGAAATAGGCTTTGGGTGTAGTTTGACTGTACAATTCTATCATCAAGGGCTCCAGTTCCATTTTTTTCCAATTCTCATGGCTTTCCATGTGCTTGCCACACCATTTAGAGAGCATGATTTGGACCCAGCATTTCCAGCAAATGTTCTGAGATTTACTCTTTGGGTTCACATGCCCATCTTGACTGTCCTTGTCCTAGAGCCTGAGATGAAGTCAACTTTCCCACCAATTTAGAGCCTAAAATATAGATGAGGGACATTTGGGCATTGAAAAATGAATGCATGAGGGAACAGCATCAGATGCCTGTGTGCTTTTTCTCACGGTCAGAAGTATTTATTCTGCACTTGAATTTGCCATAATGCCAGATATCTGTTGACCCTGAAGATACAGTCTAGAATGTGAGTTGAGGATACTGACTCAAAGAGCAAGGAACTGAGTCTAATGTTTTCATGGTAAATTTTACAAGCTTCTCCAAGGAGGCATTTTTTATTTACTTCCTAAAAATTATATTTCCAAGTTTCCAGAGTTCTTAAATCCAGTTCATATTTACTATTGATGGACATGGTATGTAATTCCCTTGATTTTGTTTGCTAGACTTACACTTTGTTCTTGTAGGGAAATTAGCCGAGCTGCAGGAAAGGCTGTGCCTGGAATCATTGATGAGGAGAGCAGTGAGAACAATGCACAGTGAGTATGTTTCTGAGGCTGCTTGAGGAGGAGTTTGCATTCGAGCTATGTTTTTAAAGTGAAAAGAGTTTTCTGATTATGAAAATAAGGCTCAAATATTTTTTAAAAAATGTGAACAATTCAGAAGGAAAATGGTAGCAATCCTATACTGTAATTCTAAGCGCATCCCTTGCCCTCCCTCCCATCCTTCCTTACCCCACTCCACCGCCACACCACAAGGACAATCAGTCTTAACACTATGGATTTAGATTTCTAGTTGTGTTTTCAATATCTAATGACATAAGTAAGTACTCTCTCCTTTTAATGACCAGGGTAAACTGGACATGTACCATAATCTAGCTAGTTCCCTGTAATTTAACATATAGGTAATTTATAATATTTTGCCTATAGGTATGTTGGCCCATGCCTATAATCCTAGCTGCTCAGAAATAGGGAGGATTGTGGTTCAAGGCCAGCCTGAGCTAAAAGTTTGTGAGACCTCCATCTCAACAAATAAGATAAGCATGGTGGTGTGTACCTGTCATCCAGCTATGCAGGGGGCATGGGTAGGAGGATTGTAGTCTGAGGCTGGCCCCAGTCAAGACAAAAAACATGAGACTTTATAAAAAACAAAACAAAACACTAAAAAGCAAAGAAACAAATATTGCCTTAATTATACTACCTACCATGCATTGAGTATTTACTGTACAATAGGCAATTGTTGCTTCATTTAATTTTTACAATAATCCTAGATGGTTTAAGATAAGATACTAAGAGGCAGTTGCCTAAGTTCACATGAGTAATGTGTCACAACTTAGGCTGTCTATTTATTGTCTAGGTTGTCTGTTTATTTTTTAATTTTTGTGTGTGCCAGTCCTGGGGCTTGAACTCAGGGCCTGGCACTGTCCCTGATCTTTTGTACATAAGGCTACTACTTGAGCTACAACTTCATTCCTTACTTTTTTCATGGAGATGAGTCTTACAAATGTTCCTGCCCTGGTTGGCTTTGAACTGCAATCCTCAGATTTCATCCTTTTGAGTAGCTAGGATCATACCACCAGCACCCAGCTTGAACCTTTATTTCTGACATGGTCATTATGTAGCCCAAGCTGGCCTTTTAGGGCCCAGTCTTGTACATGCTAGGCAGAGGGTCTGCCACTAACATCCCAGTCCCCCTTACCCCCTTTTATTTTTGAGACAAGGCTAAGATAGCTTCCAACTCAATCTTACTACGTCAGCAAAGGTCCTAAGGTTGATCCCTAACACCAAAAGAAGAAACAAAAATAAAAAGATAGAGGCAAGTCCAGCACCCGTAGCTCAAGCCTGTAATCCTAGCTACTCAGGAGGCTGAGATCTGAGGGTCATGGGTCAAAGCCAGCCCGGGCAGGAAACTCCATGAGACTTTTTTTTTTTTTTTTTGGTTGGTCATGGGGCTTGAACTCTGGGCCTAGGTGCTTCCTCCATGAGACTCTTTTTTTTTTTTTTCTGGGGGGGGGGGGGGTCCGGTCGTGGGGCCTGAACTCTGGGCCTGGGCGCTGTCCCTCAGCTCTTCAGCTTAAGGCTAGCGCTCTACCACTTGAGCCACAGTGCCACTTCCAGCTTTTTTTCTTTTTGCTTATGTGGTGCTGGGGAATCGAACCCAGGGCCTCATGCATGCAAAGCAAGCACTGTACCACTGAGCCACCTTCCCAGCCTCTCCATGAGACTCTTTTTTTTTTTTTTGGGTCCGGTCATGGGGCCTGAACTCTGGGCCTGGGTGCTGTCCCTCAGCTCTTCAGCTCAAGACTAGTGCTCTACCCCTTGAGCCACAGCGCCACTTCCAGCTTTTTTCTTTTTGCTTATGTGGTGCTGAGGAATCGAACCCAGGGCCTCAGGCATGCAAGGCAAGCGCTCTACCACTGAGCCACCTTCCCAGCCCTCCATGAGATGCTTATCGCCAATAAACCACTAAAAAACTGGAAGTGGTGCTGTGGCTCAAGCAATAGAACTCTTGCCTTGAGCTGAAGAGCTGAGGGACAGCGCCCAGGCCCAAGAGTTCAAGCCCCATGACTGACAAAAAAAAAAAAAAGGATGGAGGCAACATAGAAAGTAGAAACAAGAAAATTCATAGAAGAAACCACATCAGCCTGTCTCTCAAGAGCTTTTGGGAAAAGTAGGGCCAGCAAGGAAATATACTGACATCCCTAAGACTGTTTTACTTACCTTTGCTTCCTCTGTCATCTACTGCTCATTTCCTCCACTGCCTGGAACTTACAGTTGCAGCCTCCCCTTATTGGGATATGCCTGGGCTGTGGGCATAGAGGGACTTCACTGAATAGACGGCAAACAATAACACTGGTAGAAAAAAATATATATATTTTTTGTTGGTCGTGAGGCTTGAACTCTGGGCTTGGGCACTGTCCCTGTGCTCTTCAGCTCAAGGTGAGTGCTCTACCTTTTGAGCCACAGCACCACTTCTGGTTTTCTGAGTGGTTTATTGGAGATAAGAGTCTCACGGACTTTTCTGCATGGGCTAGCTTTGAACCCTGATTCTCGGATCTCAGCTTCCTGAGTAGCTAGGATTACAGGCGTGAACCACTGGTATCTGGCTAGAAAATAATTTTAAACTAAAAGTTTCTTACATTCTGGAAGATTCCCTCTAAGGTGCTTTGTCTATAATTCCGCTCACCCCTACGTTTCTAACTTTATGCTCTGATCTTAAGCTCTCTGTTTCATTCCATTCTCTGAAGCACTTTTTCAAGTGTTCCATCCAAATAGTACCTTTGCAGAGCTCCACATTTCGGTAAAACCCTAGCCTGTCCTGTGTGGATCAGCCTCACCCCAGGCTCACACTCCATTCTACACTCACACCAGAAGCACAGGGCCCCACATCAGACCAAATTACTTTAGCTACTACTAAGCCCATTTAACTTTATTTTTCAAGAAGTAGGTTCTCATTATTTGTGCCCAGGCCAACCTGAACTGCAGTTTTCCTATTTATGCTTCTGGTGTAGCTACAATGACAGGGAAGGGCTACCATGCCCAACGTTGAATTGTTTGAGATGGGATCTCTCAAAGTTTTTGCCTAAGGCTCCTGTTAAACTGCAGTCTTTGCTTCCCAAATTGCTAGTAATAATAGTCATGAGTCACTGCCTCGCTGCTCTAGGTGTGCCCTAGGTGAGGCCTAATTTCCTCTTCTCCCTATATCAGGGCTACTTTAGCTCTTCCAGTTATAATCATTTGCACTTAGAACATGAGTTAAATCCCAATTTTTGAGTTAAACCAAAGTTTAGAAGAAACTTTGCATTTGAGGGTAAATAAGACAGATTGTTTTGAGATTTAAAAATATTTTTAAAACATTTGGGCATGTTACTTTAATTTCTAACAGGGCTCTCACCTTTGTCTACCCTTTTGGTGCCACATTGAGTGTCATGAAACCAGCAGTGGCTGTTCTGTCCACAGGCTCCGTCTGCTTCCCACTCAACAGACCCATTCTGGCTTTCTACCATTCAAAGGTATTCCCTTTCTTAGATATGGGTATGTTTGTTACCTTCAACAATGAAACTACCTTACCTTTTCATAGATAAAAAACTTTATATAGGGGGCTGGGAAGGTGGCTCAGTGGTAGAGTGCTTGCCTCACATGCATTAGGCCCTGAGTTGGATTCCTCAGCACCACATAAACAGAAAAAAGCCAGAAGTGGGGTTGTGGCTCAAGTGGTAGAGTGCTTGCCTTGAGCTGAAGAGCTCAAGGACAGTGCCCAGGCCCAGAGTTCAAGATCTGTGACGGACACACACATACACATACATACACACACACACACAAACTTCTTTTATTTTCTCACTAGTCTTCATGCTAACTTCTGTGAAGTAGGTTGTTTTATCATGGTACTGTGGTTTGAACTCAGTGCCTTTTGATTATTAGGAAGGGCTTTGCCACTTGAACTTCCTTTCCAGCCCTTTTTTATTTATTTATTTTCAAGTTTTTCTTTGGGTTGGACTGGACCTCCATCCTCCTATTTCTGCCTCCTTGGTAGCTGGGATATCAGATCTGCACCACCACACTTAGTTTTATAGGTTGAGGTAGAGTTTTGCTAACATTTTGCTCAGGGTGGCCTTGAATTATTGTCCTTCTAAACTCCATTTCTGAGTAGCTGGGATAACAGTTGTGAATCACTGCACCTCACCATTGAAGTTGTGTTTAAGGATTCTGTATTTCACTCATGGAAAAACAGTGAGCTGAACAGTAATTGGTGGAGTCAAGCCTTAACCCTAGCTCTTACCTTCCTAAGTCCCCAAACTTGGGTTATTTATTTATTTATTTTGCTGGTCCTGGGGCTTGAACTCAGGCCTGGGCTCTGTCCCTGAACCTCTCTACTTGAGCTCTCTACTTCTGGCTTTTTCTGCTCATGCGGTACTGAAGAAGCAAACCCAGGGCTTTATGCCTGTGAGGCATGCACTCTACCACTAAGCCACATTCCCAACCCTCCAAACTTGGATTTATTTTTATTTGTCAATATGATGATAAAATTGTGTAGTTTTTTATTTTATTTTATTTTATTTTATTTTTTTGTTGGTCGTGGTGCTTGAACTCTGGGCCTGGGCACTGTCCCTGCACTCTTTAGCTCAGACTAGTGCTCTACTACTTGAGCCACAGCGCCACTTCTGGTTTTCTGGCAGTTAATTTGAGATAAGAGTCTCAGACTTACCTGCCCGGGCTGGCTTTGAACCGTGATCCTCAGATCTCAGCCTCCTGAGTAGCTAGGATTATAAGCATGAGTCACCAGGGCCTGGCTGTATAGTTTTCTTTTGTTTTTGCTAGTCATGGGGCTTGAACTCAGGGTCTGGGCACTGTCCCTGAGCCTCTCTGTGCTCAAGCTAGTGCTCTACCACTTGAGCCACAGCGCCACTTCCAGCCTTTTCCGTTTATGTGGTACTAAGGAATTGAACCCAGGGCTTTGTGCATGCTAGGCAAGCATTATCACTAAGCCATATTCCTAGCCTGGCTATGCAGTTTTTTAAAGAAACATGTATTTCAGGTTACTTTGTTTTATATATTGACAGCTTAAATAAACCTGTGTAAAAGAACCCATTTTAGTGAAACCTGACCAACACTGTTTATAGGCATTTTTTCATTTTTATTAGTCTGATAGGCAAAATACTTTTAATTAGTTAGAATTAACAAATATGGAGATTTTTTTCTTATTAAATGGTTAACTGTTCTTTTGTATAATTGCTCATGTTTATAGCTTGGTTTTCACTTTGGATCTTAAGCAGTTTTTTTGTACTCATAAATGTCTTTAATTCCACATAGAATGTTGTGGGTTTTTCTTTTTCTTCCTTCAAAATTATGACTACATATATATCTGTGTATATAATCTATATGCATATGTTATATATACATAATAACAATTGGAAGAAAGCTATAGAGTCTCCTTAATACGACCTTTGTTAAACTGAGACAGAGGAACATAGAAGTATCTACAGTGAAAGGCAGGCGGGCTAATGTGTATTTTCATAGTTCGGTCTTTCTCAACTGCTAAAATCACAGTGTGAGTTTGCACTTACCTAATACGTGAGAGAGTGGCATGATGATGGCAATAACTGCTTGGGAACAGGATGCATGCATTGTGGTTGGGATCTGAATATCTGACATTGCCTTGTCATCAACAGAACCAAGGCGGGAAACTGGCAGTGCTTGGCTCCTGTCACATGTTCAGTGACCAATATTTGGATAAAGAAGAAAACAGCAAAATCATGGCAAGCTTTTCTCTTTCACAAAGTTAATATATACTGTGTATGATTTTCACATCATTTAAAAATAACCAATAAAAATATACTGATAAGTATACATATTCATTTATAACCCACTCCTTAAAACCCATTAAAAATACAAAATTGAATCATGGATAGCCCTTGCAAAAGAAAGTTTGTAGTACGTGGGAGACAGGAAGATTAGTAAATCCTCTCTTTTGGAGGGGCAATACTAGGGTTTGAATGCTGGGCCTCATGCTTGCTAGGCTAGTGCCCTACCACTTGAGCCACATCTCCAGCCCAGCTTTTTGCTTGTTATTTTGGAGATGAAGTCGAAAACTTTTTTGCTCGGGCTGGCCTCAAAGTGTGTTCCTCCAGATCTTATCCTTCTGAGTAGCTAGGATACAGTCATGAGTCACTGGTGCCTGTCCAGAAAGAACTTGCGAGCATGCTGAGTTGGGGGCAGAAGCTGACATAAGGAGAAAGCTGATGAGAAGCTAACAAGGAGCTTTAACTTCATACTGAAAGTCACAGGGAGCCCTTGGAAGGTTGGAAACATCCTTGAACATAATCAGATCCCTATGACAATCATGGGGAAAGTAGAGAGGAAGAGGCAGCCCAGAGCCAGTTAGGAGGCTGGGAGCATTAGCCAGGCAAGAGAACATCAGAATTGAGTTAAGATTGTAAAGGGTGAGTGGAGAGGAAGGGTTGACAACATGAGTGGCAGTCATGAAGGGCCATGTATAGGACTGTTCACTGCAGTTCTGTGAGGAAGCAAATGTCTCCACAGTGCATTCAGACTTGTGCACAGTGGGATTCCAGCCATTTACTTGCCAGAGAAAGACATATCCACTGAGGCTTTTCATGAATGAAATTAATTCCTTAGCCTATAGTTGTTGTACTGGGAGGTTAATTGTGTGGTGTTGGGAAGTCTCAGTTAATTTTTTTTTTTTTTTTTTGCCAGTCCTAGAGCTTGAACTCAGGGCCTGGACACTGTCCGTAAGCTTCTTTTGCTCAAGGTCGGCACTCTACCACTTGTGCCACAGCGCCACTTCCAGCTTTTTTTGTTTATGTGGTACTGAGGAATCAAATTCAGGGCTTCATGCATACTAGGCAAGCACTCTACCCCTAAGCCACATTCCTGGCCTCTCAGTTAATTTTGATTTGTTTTCTCAAATAGCCAGATGTCTAATTCTGTGTTTATTTTTTTAATCCAGGATGTTGTTTTCCAATGGCTCACAACAGGAGACATCCTCCTAAACCAGATTGATGCTGAGGATCCAGAGGTAGGAGCTTAGGCATCATTAGGAAAGTTACATGTAAAATGGCTTCAGCTTCTCAATACCACTTCTAACAGCTTCTAACAATCTGTCTTACCTTATATGTAAGACAATGGCAAGAAATGAAGCTTTTGGGGGAGAGAAAGGTCATATTGTAGAAAACAATTAAGTCAACAAAGTATATAATTAGTCATAGATACAATTAATTGGGGGTAGATTTATGTGTATGTATATGTATATATATATGTATATAAATTTGGAATTTAAAATATACTGTCTGGGTTGAGGCTATAGCTTAGTGGTAAGGTAAATCCAGGGTCCAATCCCTCGTACTGGAAAAAATAAAATTAAAAAAAGTAATAAAGTTCATACCTGTAATCCTATCTTCTCAGGAGTCTGAGATCCGAGCATCATGGTTCAAAGCCAGCCCTGGCATGAAAGACCATGAGACTCTTATCTCCAATTCAGCACAATAAAAACTGGAAGTAGAGCTGTGGCTCAAGTGGTAGAGGCTAGCCTTGAGTACAAAACCTCATGGACAGTACCCAGGCTTGTAATCCTAGCTACTCAGGAGGCTGGGATCAAAGCCAGCCCAGGCACAAAAGTCCTTGAGACTCTTATCTCCAATTAACTCCCAAAAATAAAAATAAAAGCTGAAAGTGGAATTGTGTTTCCTGTGGTAGAGTACTAGCCTTGAGCACAAAAGCTCAAGGATAACACACAGGTCCTGAGTTCAAGCCCTAGGACCAACACACACACCCAAAACATAATATGATGATAAATGATAAATTTATTGATCTGGGATTATAGACATGCACAAGCACATCCAGCAAAAACTAGTTATTTTGTGATGCAATGTCAGTCTTCAGAATTTTAGGTTTAAACTACCTTTATTGCTTTTAGAAGTAGGGTGGGTTCTAGTGGCTTATGCCTGTAATCCTAGATACTCAGGAGGCTGAGATCTGAGGATTGTGGTTCAAAGCCAGCCCAGGCAGAAAGTCCCCATAAGACTCATAGCTCCAATTAACCATTCAAAAACAGGAAGTGGAGCTGTGGTTCAAAGTTGTAGAGTACTAGCCTTGAGTGAAAGGTTTCAGGGAAAGCACCTAGGCCCTGAGTTCAAGCCCTGCAAAACAACAACAAAAAACAAAACAACAAAAAAAGAAATAACAGTTTTGAGGAGAACGATGAAAGGGGTGACTTTGATCAGGAGATATTCGTAAGCTGACATGTTGAATTGAAACTTCTTTGTACAACTACTTAAAAGATAATTTTAAAAAATTAAAGAGGGGAAAAAAAGACAATCCTGAAGGCACTATGGTACTATTTCTCTGAAAAGGGGGCATGAGAAAACTATTCCTGGATTCGGAATCAGTAGCCTGCACTCTGAGTCTGATACCACCACCAGCTCTGGGACCTCAGCAGGCTCCTTCTGTCTTTTTACTCCAGTGTCCTCATTTGTGAAGCAGGGACACCGATACCTATGCGCATTGCCTCACAGGATGATTGTAAAGCCTAACTTCAGAGATGGACATTTCATAAAAGTGCTATGTGTCTAGCTCTCATTCACTTGTTTTGCGGTGTCAGAGTTCACGTTGCCTTATGCTTGCTAGGCAGTCATCCCACCTCTGAGCAACATCCTCAGTCTGATTTTTTTTTAATATTTTATGTGCCAGGCATTTATATGCCAGGCATTATATCATATTTTTGTCTAAGTCATCTTACTTAATTCCGAACTTGTGGGAGGTAGATGTCTTATTCCCATTTCACAGATGAGGAAACAAAAATTATACACGGTTACAGATAGCAAGCAAGTACAGAGTCAGGATTCAAACCCAGGTCCCTTGAGTTGAAGTCTGCTCATGGTGTAGTTTTTCTGTTTCTGAAACTGAAAAGGCAGGAAAAAGGATTTCTTGCTGTGTAGGTGTAGGAGATGGAGAAAGGCAGTCTTAACCATCTCCAGGCTACTTCCTCCCACACAGCTTCCTAGAATCTGCCGTGGGGTAGGAAATAGGAGAGCCTCCAGTCCAGCTAGAGTCTGTGGAAACATTAAACATATCAATATTTTGTTTAACTTCCTCCTCAGAAGTGAGGTAAGCCTCTGAAAAGAGCTAGGGACAGCCAGGAATTTGCTTTCCAGTTCTCACAGGATCCACCCCTGGCCACTGCCAGTCCAAGTTAATGGGATGAGTCCAGGGAGCAGCACTAAGAGATGTTGCATCTGCACCTGTTCTGTGTTCCTACCTTGCTCCTGCTAAGTTTATCAGTCCCATATCCCAGCTGAGGAAACTGAAGTAAGTGAATCTGCAAGGTCTCCATTTAAGTCAATACCTGGCCATGCCATTGTTAACCCCTAGGTCAGGCAGTTTTTGGAGCCAGTCCCATTTCTATTGCCCTGTGGTTTACTGCTTACCACACCTGACATTACACTAGTGCAGAAGGGAGGGATTCACGAAATACCAGGAGAAGATGATGGTATTAAGGTCTTTTTCTCAAACTTTGCATTTACCTTCCAGATTTGAGACCTAGTGAAAAAAATGTACTTTTTTTTGGAGGCTGAGGCAGGAAGATCAAGAGCTCAAGGCCAGCTTGGGCTGCATAGAGATTTCCAGTCTAAACTGGGTGTGGTAGGATATACTTGTAATCTCAGCACTTAGAAGATGGAGGCAAAAGACTTGCAAGCTGGAGCCCTGCTTGAGATCCTGACTCAATGAAATGAAAAATAGGCAGGCATCAGGGTCCCATCCCTATAATCCTAGTTAACTAAGCAGGAGGCTGAGACCTGGAGGATAAAGGTTGAAGCCAAACTGGGCAGAATGGTCCAGAAGACTTCATTTCCAAAGATGACCCACACAAAGCTAGGTTGAAGTGTGGCTCAAATGATGGAGTACCAGTTGATCAAGCAAAACAAACAGGTGCTAGGCTCTCAGTTCAAACTCTGGTACCAGCAAGAATAAATGAGTACACATACACGCACGCACGCACGCACGCACGCACACGCACACACACACACACACACACACACGCACGCACGCACGCGCGCGCGCACGCACACAGTATTATAAGGCTTTGGAAAGTAAAATGCTAATCCAGTAGTATTGCAGAATGAGAAGTGCTGAAAACCTGAATTCCCTGGTTATTTCAGATTAAATCATGTTGTATCAGAATGGGTTTCAAACCAGGAAACATCTCAATTTCAAATGGTATTTAATAGAGTAAAATGGGAGCTCAATAAAGAGCTGTGGGAGTTTACCTAAAAAGTTGAGCATTGCTAGGTGTTGGTTGCTCATGCCTGTAGTTCTTGCTACTCAGGAGGCTGAGATTTGAAGATCCCAGTTCAAAGCCAGCTCAGGCAAGAAAGTCTGTGAGGTTCTCTCTTATCTCTAATTAACCACCAGAAAACCAGAAGTGGAGCTGTGGCTCAAAGCGGAAGAACACTAGCCTTGAGCAAAAGAGTTCAGGGACAGCACTCAGGCAAGAAAAAAAAAAGTTTGACATAAAAATTTGCCAGCAAATCGGAAGACCTGTGATCCCAGGAGCACACAGTTTTTTTTTCCTAGACGCACAAGGCCTTGAGGGCTTCCTGCACCAGGATTTTGTGGGAAGATCTCTGTGCAGAGGGATAGGAGAATCAGCCTCAGGACCTTTGGGACTGCTGGCCCTTACCTGGTGTCTGTGGTGTGAGGGGTATCCCAACATAGTTAAGTTGTTTTACTGTTTTCTCCCTCACCCCATGTTACATTAGAAGCTGAAGTCTTGGAAACTGCCACAGGAAATGTATTGATTTATGTTCTTTCCTTAATTCTTGTTAAAAAAAGAAAAAAAAATTTTTTTTGAGAATCCCCACACACAGTGACTCATACCTGTAGTCCTAGCTTCTTGGAAGGCTGAAAATGGAAGATTATGGTTCGGAGTCAGCCAAAGCAAAAAGTTTGTGAGAAACCTCATCTCAAGCAATGAAAAGCTGGGTGCAGTGGCATGCGCTTGTCACCCCAGCAATGGCACAAATAGTAAGATTGTGGTCTAGACCCACCAGGGCAAAAATGAGACTTTATTTGAAAAAATAATGACAGAACAAAAAGAAGATAATTTGAGGATGAGGAGAGCTTGTGACCCTTGGGCTGTTACATTACTTCTGTAATGCTCAGGCGTATCTTCCCCAGAGCCAGAGGTAGAAAATGCAGGGAACAGCATGTTTTGGGAGATTTTAAAGGACCAGTTTCTCAACTTTTCCCAAGAAGGCCCCATAGCTAAGTGCAGTTCAAAGGGCAGTAAGAAGTAAGCTTGTCAACATACACTTTTTTAGTTTGAGTAAGTAATACATATTCACATAGTGCAGGATTGGAAAGCATACACAGTGAATAGTCTTTCTTGTATCTTTCAGCCCAGCTACTTTGTTACCCTCCAGTGACAACAATCTTAGCAGTGTCCCGTATGTGCTTCCAGAGACATTTTATACTTAAATGAGCAAGTATGTGTATTCTCCTCCCTCCCCTTTTATACAAACTGTATAAATATACTGTGTTTGTATACTGTCCAGCATCTTGCTTTTGTGTATGTTTGTGCTAGTACTTGTGCTTGAACTCCAGGCCTTATGCTGTCACTTGGCTTTTATTTCTCCCTTTTGGTGCTATGTCACTTGAGTCACACCCCCACTTCTAGCTTCTTGTTAGTTGAAGGGGAATTATCTCAGATTTGTCTGCCCAGACTGGCTTTGAAACCTTGACTCTTAGATCTCAGCCTCCTGAGTAGCTAGGGTTATAGGCATGAGCCACCAGTACCTGGCTGTACTTTCTTTATGTTTGCCTCTGTTTTCTTACTAAAATAGAAAATAAAGTCAACCGTAGAGATTACATAAAGCAACTTGTCTTGGATGGTTGTAGTGACAAGTATGCCTTAGAAAGTGGGAACACGAGGGATTAGGGAGGTAGTATGAATTGCTGAGTACTCACAGATGAAAGTTTGTGAAATTAGACCAGTCAGCAGGGTTGTATGCAAGTAATTGGAGAGTTGTACTTAGCTGGCCTTGGAGTTTATTTAGCCCTGTTTATTCCTCTGTGATTATAAACAGATACTCAGATAAAGCTCTTGGCAAGAAGGTATAAATATTAAAAATTGAGACCTGAGAGGCAAAGACTAGAGGATACGCTTTCATTTCTGCTCAGCTAAAAGGAACTCTCTTGTGGCTTTCAGATTTCTGACTACATGATGCTGCCGGACACAGCCACCCTGTCAGAGCGGCTCCGAGTGTGTTTTCAGGAGGGTGATGAGAACCCACGGGACTTTACCACACTCTTCGACCTGTCCATTTACCAGCTGAATACAGCCTCCCTCCCCAAAGTCATCAAGTCAGTACCTGGAGCTCCCTGAGCTGCACTGCAGTCCACTCTGTGTTTGGTGTGAAAACATGAGCCTGGGGGCAGTAGTTAGGGGCTGGAAACCTGTTCTTAGATCTGTGGTGAGGTCAACAGAGAAACGTGTGGGATGTGTGGTTGCTGTAGAGGAACTGCCAGTAGTTATTAGCCCCTGTGTGTTCCACTCTGCCCCCAGCCTTTAGGAGGAGCAGCCTTTTCTGTTTGACCAGGACATTTCTAGTTTTATTATAGAATCCTAAATCCCAGAACTCACTCAGTAAATCAAAGTTGGTGGTTCAGTGCCATTGTCTCTGCTTTAATATTTCAGTAGTGCTCTGAGCCTCATACTCACATGAGGAAACAGAGATTTAAAGAAGGGAAAATAGGGGAAAGATTTATAGTCAGGCCTGGATGACTTTCAGGCTTCTTCTATATTAGTGTTTACTTTTTTTTTTCCTCTCTGGGTGACAAAGTCAAGGAATAACATTTTGAAAAATTAACTAGATAAGCTAGAAGCCAAGGGTGCAGCCACAGACACTTTTTTTCCTACCCTTTACTTATGTTCAGAACCAACAAACACTGAACGCCTACAGTGCCAGGCACTATGCCTGAAATTTCCAGTTTTATGGGGGAGACAGACAAAGTTCTCATACAGACTTATTAGGTAAATCCTAAGCGTGGAAAAAAATAAAGCCAGGAGCACAATGAAGAAAGGGAGTTTGATTTGACTGAGATCCTTCTGAAAGAAAGGCTTTCTTAGCTACACACTTACTACTTCAACCAATACTTTAGAGTCTGTGTCTGCTGTGGATTGTGGGCCTTCAGGGCTGAGTGGGATTTCAGGAGCTGAGTGAGGGCATTAGGAGAGGGTGTTCTGCAGCACAACCTGCTGTGATTAAAGCCTCCCACCACTCACACTTGTGATAATGTTGAGGCTAGGGGTAGCACAAAGCTGAGGACCAGGCCAGATCTATGAAATGGGAGACTAGGAGAGTCCTTCAGGAGAGGGTCGTGGTTGAATCTCTGCTTTTCAAAGCCAGCCAATGCAATTTCTTGCAGCAGTTTGTATAATTCAGTTGGAATCAGGAAACAAGGTGAAAATAATAGTTAAGAGACTTGTGCAGATGAGGTGGTGGAAAGGTGGAGCTCTGGTGATCTCTCTTCCTCTTCAGTTCAGGACTTTCCTTGTAAAAACAGATTTTTCAGGAGGCTATTCCACTAGCCAGTTGCTCTTTGGGCCTAATTCTTTTCTGGTGTGTTCAGACCTGCCCAGGATAAGTGTTTGTAGTTGTTGAATGAAGGATTGCTAGAAACTGCGACTTTTTTAGTTTTTGTAGTCAAATAGTGGATGTTTTGGAGGCTCAGCCACAGCAGAGGGCAGTAATTACTGGTTTACAACCTTGATATGGTATCTTTGGGTATCTTTATTTGCTACTAACATCTTTTGAAAGCAAAATATCTCTTTTCTGCATTTTTTTTCCTTTGGCCCTGGGCTCAAGGCTAGCACTTTACCACTTGGGCCCCAGTGCTACGTCCAGCCTTTTCTGTGATTAATTGGAGATAAGAGTCTGATGGACTGCCAAGCCATGATCCTCAAATCTCAGCCTCCTGAGTAGCTAGACTTACAGGTGTGAGCTACCAGTGCCCAGCTTCTAAGTTATTTTTGTGGGCTTATGTAAACTAGGGGGTGTTTCTCTGAAGTAACCCCCTTCGTTCATCCCATACTTATTGATGCCAATGGGATATGAGGTCAAGACAAATAGTGTGGAATCCCACCCACCCAGAGTTCATGGTCAGGTAGGTAAGGATTGAGACCCTAGGTGGCAAAAGGACATTACCAGAGCTCAGGCTAGAATGTGGAAATTAAGATTCACAAATTTGTATTTAGCTCTTCTATTAATTCTTCCCCATTTCCATAAAGATCAGCCTTCTGAACTAGGCTTTGCTTGGCTTCAAGACTAGTTTCTTCATTCTATATGTGCTAGCTATAAGGTGGTGAGCTGAGTGGAGAAAGGGAAGACTTAATGGAACAAAGCATTTGCTCTCCATAGTCAGCTCCACAGGGGCAGAAAAGAACAAGTTCATGGCTAGATGGCTAAGACTAGTGCTCTGCAACAGAATTCTTTGTGTGTTGACTATGGGGACCATAGTTTACTGTCCCTGTGACTTTTGCTTACTGACTAGATTGAATTTGGAGGTTTTAGTTTTAGGCTGGTGAGATCCAAGCTCCCATCTTACCTCTGGTCCTTACAAACCATGTGGACCTGGAAACTTACTTTAAGTGTCTACACCTCAGCTTCCTCTTCCTGAAGACATTATACCCATGTTCCAGGCTTGTTTTGAGTATTTGAATTGAGTTTAGTACGTAGTACAGGGTTAAGTACCATGTAGTAGGTGCTAGAATAAAGTTACTTGTCTTCACTCATTGGAAATGTGCTCAGCTGATTGCCTTTCTGCAGTCACATATCTCACTCCTTTCTGAAATCATGGAACCTTCCCTGAGCCTTGTATACCCATTGGCATTTACTTTTCTAGCTTACATTTGAATGCCACAGATATGCATCAAATTTAATTTGGGTGAAAATATTTTAAGTTGCTTTACCATCAGAGTCCAGCCATCTTATAAAATTATATACAATGCAAAAACTATGAACAAATAAATGTTAGAGTGAAACAAAGAGAAGCCACCATAGCTCAATATCACAGGGTAAGATTAGCACTTACCTATAAGCTCCCTCCTCCTACCACTTTCCCTGTTGTTCTGTGACAAAATGCCTAGTCTCCTTTCTCATGCCTCTGCCTGGGACACTTTTGAAGACACCACATGACTTCTCTGAGGGCTCCTCTGACAAACCACCCCAGGCCCTTTCCTGTCTCCTGATTTGCTTCTTCTGAATATTGGAATGTTACTGGGTTTTGTATTTACTGTTTCTCCTCCCCTGGAATGTAAGCTTCATGAGGGCCTGCCCTGGTGTCTGTTTACTGCTGCTGTACTTGTAGTGCCTTCTTTGTAGTGGTTAGTGCAGTAGGATTTGCTGAGTGAGTGAGTGAACCAACAGATGTACACATAATACTTGCCAGAGCAGTCTTCAGATTGGATTCCTGTCTCTTTTTTTTTGGGTCCAGTAGTGGAGCCTGAACTCTGGGCCTGGGTGCTGTCCCTCAGCTCTTCAGCTCAAGGCTAGCACTCTACCACTTGAGCCACAGCACCACTTCCAGCTTTTTTTCTTTTTTTTGCTTATGTGGTGCTGGGGAATCGAACCCAGGGCCTCAGGCATGCAAGGCAAGCGCTCTACCACTGAGCCACCTTCCCAGCCCCGGATTCCTGTCTCTTGTTGTTGGAAACAAACAATGAGTCATGGGGATCTCATTGTGCCTCAGGTAAAACCCAGAAGCCTGGTACTTGAAAAGTTCTCCTATCTGTAGAATTGAGGTCTAATGGGATCATTACATTAGCTGGAACAACACATTTTGTATGTTTTATTAAGTAGCATTGAACCATCAACTCTGATGCAGAGCAATGTAGGGAACAGTCAGATATGCTTTGCCATGACACCTTGCCTTGATTCCTACATTTTCGCTCTATTATAAACACAGGGCTCATGAGCAGCTAAATGTGAAACATGAACCGCTCCAGCTCATCCAGCCTCAGTTTGAGACACCGCTGCCAGCCCTTCAGCCTGCGGTAAGCATGCTTGGGGAGTCCTGCTGCAGAGCCCCACCATATGTCCTCCCTGTGGGCCCTTCCAGACATCAATGTGGTGCTCCTCATGGAGTCACAGTTCTAAACTTAAACATGTTCTGGCACCACACCTGTGAGTACTCTGTACAGACTTCGATGTGGGGGTCTCAACTGATAAATCCAGGGCATGGACTTTCCTGGCTGTTCAGCTCTTCCCCTCTTGTGGGGTTAGAGGGCATGTGTGAGAATGCTTGGAGAAAGATGGTGAGGTAGGGGGGTGGGGGGGCTATATCAATAGAGTACATTAAAAAATTTTTTTTGATCTAGCATTAACCAAACCTATCTTTTTTCTTTTTTTTTTTGGGTCCGGTCGTGGGGCCTGAACTCTGGGCCTGGGCGCTGTCCCTTAGCTCTTCAGCTCAAGGCTAGTGCTCTACCACTTGAGCCACAGCGCCACTTCCGGGTTTTTTCTTATGTGGTGCTGAGGAATCGAACCCAGGGCCTTGAGCATGCAAGGCAAGCGCTCTACCACTGAGCCACCTTCCCAGCCCAACCACACCTATCTTATAATGTCCTATTTCAATGTATTTTGCAGTGCTATAAACTATCAGGCTACAACTTGCTAGCTTGAAACTAGCCACGTGGGAGTGTTTGCATCATAGAAAATGTCAAATCCTAGAGCTGATAGTTAAATGTTTACCAGTACCCTGCTGGTTCATGCCTATGCATTCTGACTCTTAAGTTCATCCTTTCTACATGAGTCTGTATTTGCTTCCCAAATAATGTTTGTCCCTGAAGGAGCTCATGATTGAGCTGTGTGTCAAGGTGCACATTATAATCCCAGCATTGCAGAGGCCAAGGCAGGAGGAACCCAGATTTGAAGCCAGTCTTGATTACAGGGTGAGATCCTATCTCAAAGACGAAAAACAACAATCCCCAAACCCCCTCATTATTAAATGAGAAACAGGTTTTATAATCAGATCTTCAAAACAAACCTAAGCCCCAAGCTTTGCATTGTTTGTGAGTTAACTGCCATCAGTATGCTGGCTTGGTTAGTTTGATATTGTAGTTGGTTCCCTTTGGTTGGTTACTGTGTGCTGATAGTCCAGTTTGCTCTACATCTAATGGGTGATGGATGGGGGAGGCAATGGGAATTTGGATAGTTCATCCCATGGGAAGGCCTGAGTTTGCCTTGTTTCCCATGTGTCTCTTCACTCATTATTAGTTATGGCTTTGAAAACATCTTTCATAAAAGACTGCATTTCCTTTTAGGTTTTCCCTCCTAGCTTCAGGGAACTGCCACCTCCTCCTCTGGAACTGTTTGACTTAGATGAGACATTTTCCTCTGAGAAGGCACGGCTTGCTCAGATCACTAATAAATGTGAGTTGGACTAATACATTTCTTTTATGAGGTTTATTTAATCACAACCTCTGAGATAGGCTATCTGACAAAGCTTAAAACAAAGTGTGAAGCCAGAGCTGGGGGCTCACGCCTGTAATCCTAGTTATTCAGGAGGCTGAGATCTGAGGATTGCGGTTCAAAGCCAGCCTGGGCAGGAAAAGTCTGTGAGAATCTTATCTCCAATAAACCACTCAGACAGGTGTGGTGGTGCATACCTGTAATCTCAAGTAGTAGGGAGGCCAGATTAGCTGGAAATATCAATATTTGTCTCAAAGTAAAAAATTTTAAGGGCTGGCAAATTAGTTCAGCAGTAGAAAAAAAAAAAATAAACCACTCAGAAAACCAGAAGTGGCACTGTGGCTCAAGTGATAGAGTGCTAGCCTTAAGCTAAAGAGCTGAGGGACAGCACCCAGGCCCAGAGTTCAAGCCCCACGACCAACAACAACATCAAAAAAAAAAAAAAACACCAAAAACCAAAGTATGTTTAAAGTTAAATTTTTATTCATTGTGCATGAATGATAATAGTTGTTTTTCTTGAGGGCAGTTACTTAGGTGAGTGATTATAGATAAGATATTAAGCAAAAAACCAAAGGTTTCAGCTTTGATCTCTGTAGGCCTTTAATTCTGACCTGTTGAATGACCTTGGCTTCCATCTAGCAAATCTAGATCATTGGTCTTGGGAACAGTTAGATTAGGAAAGCGAGTCAGGAAGTTGGGCGTTGGTGGCCCATACCTGTGATCCTGGATACTCTGGAGGCTGAGACCTGGAGGATCTAGGTTTGTCGTGTGCCCAGGCAGTAAAGTCCATGAGATTCCATGTACAAAATAAACAACAAAAAGCAGAGCCAAAGGCATGACTTAGGAGGTAGAGTGCCAGCTGAAAACAAAGCAAGCTGAACAAATGTGAGGCCCTGAGTTCAAACCTAGGTATCACTAAGAAGAAAGAAAAAGATCAGGGAAGGAAGGAGGGAGGGGAAGAAAAGAAAGACCTAGAATTTGTCAGTGTGTAAGTCCTGTGGTCATATCATTCTAGGAAGAGGTGATTAATCTTGAGAGATTCAGAACTTAACAGGGTATACCTACTAAAATACACTGTGTGTACTTTGAGGGCAGAAGTGAAGGGTTAATCTAACTTTATTTACTGTATGTAGGTACTGAAGAAGACCTGGAGTTCTATGTCAGGAAGTGTGGTGACATTCTTGGAGTAACCAGTAAACTACCAAAGGATCAACAGGATGCCAAACATATCCTTGAACACATCTTCTTCCAAGTGGTGGAGTTCAAGAAATTGAACCAGGTACAGAGTGCAGGAGGCTCACTGAAATGGGGCCATTGAAATGGCAGTACTGTGCATAAGCTGTGTTTTATAACATTCATTAGTTCTGTAGGTACTTATTAAGTATTACATATGTGTACACCAGACAGTCCTTATGCTTATGGAGCTGTAGGCTCCAGACAATGAACAATAATAGAATATATAAATACATCACCTAGCATGCTAGAAGATGGTAAATACTATAGTATACAGAAAGTAGCCAAGCCAGAGGGATCGGGTATGCTAAGTTGGCACTAGTGACTGGTGGTATAAAATAGAGTGATCAATCAAGGCTGGCTTACTGCACCATTGATTTTAGAGCAAAGACTTGAAGTCACTGAGGGATTTAGCCATGCAGATAGCCCAGCTGTAATCCTAGCTACTCAGGAGGCTGAGATCTGAGGATCGCAGTTCAAAGCCAGCCAAGGCAGGAAAGTCCTCCAGACTCTTATCTCCAATAAACCACTCTAAAACCAGAAGTGGCACTGTGGCTCAAGCAATAGAGTGCTTGCCTTGAGCTGAAGAGCGCAAGGATGGCGCCCAAGCCTAGACAGAGTTCAAGCCCCATGACCGACAAAAAAAAAAAAAAAAAGGTAGTGTCCCCTTCAGAAGAGCTATGCAGAGTCCCTAAGGCTGGTAAGGAGTCTAGCAGATCGTCTCCAACTATCTTTGCTAGTACTCATCATGGTGGGTGTGGACATTGGTCAGAAAACCTGTCCTGGTTGTAAAAACTTGATCCTCAGCTGGAATTCAGCCTTAAAGCTAAAGAGAAAGCCGGGCTGGCGCCGGTGGCTCACACCTGTTATCCTAGCTACTCAGGAGGCTGAGATCTGAGGATCGTGGTTCAAAGCCAGCCTGGGCAGGAAAGTCCATGAGACTCTTATCTCCAATAAACCACTAAAAAACGGAAGTGGTGCTTTGTCTCAAGCGGTAGAGCGCTCGCCTTGAGCTGAAGAGTGCAGGGACAGCGCCCAAGCCCAGAGTTCAAGCCCCACGACTGACAAAAAAAAAAAGGCTAAAGAGAACCTGTGTTCTACTAAATGATGATTGCAAATCTCGCATTAACATGCAAAACACTAAAGAATTCATATTTCAAGGTCTATACTGCTAAAACTAAAATTCTGTTTATTCTCTCATCCAGGAACATGATATTGATACAAGTGAAATAGGATTTCCTAACAATTTCTGAGGACTGCCTGTTGGAGCATTTCTGCCTCCTGATTCTCTTTGTATTTTTGAATCATTCCTCAACTCCTTACCAAAGGGTGTATATCCTTTATATCCTCTTTCCTCTATAAACTGTGGAAATCTGTGCCTCTTCTGCAGCAGCCATATAGGTAAGGTTTATAATCCTTATGGAAGAGACATTCCATTTTTTAAAATTAAATCTGTGTCAAACTTGTACTTTTACAATTTATGAAAGTCTGTCATTGAAGTCTTTTCTTCTGACTCCAGGATTTGTTTCTTATGAAAGACCTATAAAACTCTCAAGTTTTGGGAAATACTGCACAACTTTCTGGGCTAGTTAAAAAATAATACGAAATTTAAACTCAGTGTGTTTGCCCCACTGTACCTAAGGAAAAAAATAAATGAGCAGTTACCTTCCTTAGATCGCTCACCATATTGTCTGCCAGCTGTCCATTGAACTCAGCCATCTGCATGCAGGCTGTGGTCTCCATCCACATTTTCTCCCTCATGTGAATTTCTGGAGAACTTGATTATATCATAATTTTGGGTTATAATGCAGGGTTAAATGTGGTGTTCTGTCCCAAGGAGGCTCAAGAGCATTCTCAGGGAACAGTGAGAGAGATGGTTTCCATCTAGCAGGAGCAGTTGATAGGTGGAAATGCACAGTAGTGTATTTGAATATACAGAGAACCATCTCTGGGGGACAAATTGAAGGTGGCAGAGCTTCCAAAAGAATATTTGCTCCTAAGCCGGGCATGGTGGCTCACACCTGTAATCCTAGCTACTCAGGAGGCTGAGATCTGAGGATCGAGGTTCAAAGCCAGCCCGGGCAAGAAAGGCCATGAGACTATTATCTCCAATAAAACCACTCAGAAAACCAAAAGTGGCACTATGGCTCAAGTGATAGAGTGCTAGACTTGAGCTGAAGAGCTCAGGGACAGCGCCCAGGCCCAAAGTTCAAGCCCCACAAACAACAACAAAAAGAATATTTCCTTCTAATCTGGGTGCTGCTGGCTCCCATCTGTTATTTGAAGTTTGAACCAACTGAGGCAGAAAATTCTGAGATTCTATCTCCAATTAACCAGTAAATTGCTGGACTAGAGTGTGGTTCAAGTGGTAGAGTGCTAGCCATAAGCAAGAAAGCTCAGCTCAGGCACTGAATTCAAGCCCTAATATCTGCAAAATCAAAGAGCAACAAAAAAATGACAGGATCAAATTTATCAGGAAACAAAAATAAAAAGTTTTTTGTTTTTGTTTTTGCTGGTCCTGGGCTTGAACTCAAGGCTTGGGTGCTGTCCCTGAGCTGCTTGCTTTGTGCTCAAGGCTAGCATTCTACCACTTGAGCCATAGGGCCACTTTCAGCCTTTTCTGAGTAGTTTATTGGAGATAAGAGTCTCACAGACTTTTCTGTGTGGGCTGGCTTCAAACCACTATCCTCAGATCTCAGCCTTCTGAGTAGTATAATCTACTGGCGGCATAAGCCACCAGTGCCCAGCAATAACAAGGTTTTTTAAAAAAATTATTTATTATTTGTTAGCATTTATTAGTGGTATAAGGAAGGTTAATTGTGATATTTGTTTGTTTGGTTTTTTTTTTTTGGGTCCGGTCATAGGGCCTGAACTCTGGGCCTGGGCGCTGTCCCTCAGCTCTTCAGCTCAAGGCTAGCGCTCTACCACTTGAGCCACAGCGCCACTTCCAGCTTTTTTCTTTTTGCTTATGTGGTGCTGAGGAATCGAACCCAGGGCCTCATGCATGCAAGGCAAGCATTCTACCACTGAGCCACCTTCCCAGCCCTGGTTGTTTTTTTTTTAATGATTTTTTGAGATTAGGTGATTACATAAATTTCACAGTATTATGGAATAGTGATACTTAGGTAAAGTCACAAACACATTTTAACCTTCACAAGGCAAGTTGTCATTATCATGGTCTATAAGCTTTGTGAATTCTATGAGCTTTGACAATACAACTATTTCTTCCACATCAGGTGATACTTACATTTCTTGCCTTTTGGTTAGTGTAAGCTGTTCCCTCTTTCCCACTCATTCCCATCGCTGCCTTTGAGTTGCTTAGCTCATTTTCATCAATGTCCAGTGCAGCTGATGGGCCCCTCTGTTGTATCTTTTCCTGTTTCCCTCTGATTCTGTGTCCTCCTCCTACCTTCCCTCAGATGTGCGCATATATATAGATACCATATATGTGGTCAAGAACATGGACTCATTTAGAAATGAGTGAAAGTCCTTCGTTTCTCGGGTCCTCTTTACTTTGTCTTATATCCTTGCATTATGGCTTTAGTATCCACATATCAGGGAAAACATGTGCCATTTGTCTCTTTGCTCTTGGCTTACCTCGCTCAAAATGATTTGCTCTAGTTCCATCCATTTCCCTGCAAATGCCATTATTTTGTCCTTTCTAGTGGCTGCATAATAGGTACCACAATTTTTGGATCCACACATCTGTAGTGGGGCATCTGGGTTGTTTCCTTATCTTGCCTATTGTGAACAGTGCTGCAATGAACATGGAGGTACATGTGTCCTTGTATCCTGGTTCCTGTTGCTCAGGGTAGAATGCCTAGGAGTGGTATGGCTGGGTCATAGGCGAGGTCTAAATTTAGCTTTCTGAGGTATCTCCAGACTGCTTTCCAAAGTGGTTGTATTAGTGTACATTCCCACTGGCAATGCAGTAGGGTCCCTCTTTCTCCGCATCCCCTCCAGCAATAACAAGTTTTTGTGGATGTGTGTATGGGGCTTGAATTCAGGGCCTGGGGGTGGGGGACACTGTCCCTGACCTTTTTTGCTCAAAACTAGTGATGTACCACTTGAGCCACAACTACTTCCAGTTTTTTGGTGGTTAATAGAATGAGTCTTTTCTGGCCAGGCTGTCTTGAACTACATCCCCCAGATCTCAGTCTCCTGAGTAGATTATAGGTGTGAACCACAAGCCCCTGACATGGACAATTTATTTATTGCAATAAAATACATCTGTGATTAGATTCATTTCAAAATGAAGTGGAAATGACTAAACGCATAACTCAAGCAGTAGAGCACCAGCCTTGAATGGAAAAAGCCCTGCAAGGACAAAAGGCCTTGAGTTCAAGCCCCAGTACCCACTCTAAAAAAAGTGTTAAGAGGAAATAATGAGAAAGGATAATGAAGGTAACAACTGCTTTCTATAAGAATAAGGAGAAACATTTGTGGCATTTCATGATTCATATGTCTTTTTTTTTTTTTTTTTTTGTCAGTCATGGGGCTTGAACTCTGGGCCTGGGCGCTATCCCAGAGCTTTTCAGCTCAAGGTGAGCACTCTACCACTTGAGCCACAGCGCCACTTCCAATTTTCTGAGTGGTTTATTGGAGATAAGAACCTCATGGACTTTCCTGCCTGGGCTGGCTTTGAACCTTGATCTTCAGATCTCAGCCTCCTGAGTAGCTAGGATTACAGGCGTGACCACCAACACCCTGCTCATCTATCTTTTGTGTGGCTTTGCTAAGTTATTTCTCATATGAAACCCAGTATTAGCAGGATACAGGTGGTATACACTCCCGTAACCCCAGCAATATCTGAGGAAGGAAGATCAAGCTTTTAAGATAGCCTGGACTACATAGCAAGACACTGTCTCAAACCTTAAACCAGGCCTAGGAGGTGTGGCTCAAGTGGTAGAGTGCCAGGCTTGAGTGGAAATAGCCTAATGAGTTCAACAGCCAGGCCATATACACATTCACAAAACTAAACCAAAATCAACCAACCAATCAAAACCCTCTACACATTAGAGGGTAAGTGTGTTTTATGTCTTAGATTTGTTACCTAAAAGATTCTAGAGTTGTACAAATGCCTTACTGAGCTTAATGTTTATGTAAGATTTCATCATGGAATTAAAGAATGTTACGAGGAAAGATTTCTACCCTTTTACATCCATCCAATTTCCCTCTGCAACTGATGTGTATCTTCAAGACAGTTTCAGAACAATAAAGAAATCTCCTTGTTGATGTGATATTTAATTTTCATATGTAGCCTAATGAATCCTCTGGGTTTGAACTCTCCCCCACCCTGCACCCTAAGCAGCTCATAATCTAATTGTAGGAGGAAGTTAACCAACAGTCATAAATGGTGACAGATATCAGGAAGAAAACTTGGGTGCTATAGGAGCTGGTCCAGAGACTAGGACCAGGACTGAGCTGTGAAGTCCCATGACCTGTGGTCACAGGCTAGCCATGTCCCCATTTGGTGCTGTCATTGTTCTTTCAGAGACCCTCTGCATCGCCTATTTATAGTGGGAGGTGGGACCTTGGAGGTGCAGGCTCCCTCAGAACTCAGCACCCCAGCTACCAAGCCCACTGGGGATCTGGTACAGTGGCGCTCCCTAGGAACAACTCCTGTGATGCTCCTTGGGAGATCCCTGCTCCCTCCCTGATCCGTGGGCTCTAGCCCCGGCTTCTTGGGCCACTAGGACTTGTTATCAACCTTTTTACTGTTTAATTTTTGAGCCAGGCACTGCTACTCCTCCTTCTGGCTACCACACTTGTTCTGGGTCACTTGCAGGCAGCAAGACTGCTAGATTGACTCTGAGGCCTAATCTTCCCTCTCTTTCCTCACAGAGGAGGGTGAGAACGCTTCCACTTAAAGCCATAGGGATGGCCAAGAGGTGTATCTGGTGTCCACCTGGGTGGATAAGGCCCTAGTATCCAATGGCTATTCCTCCCTGAATTTGTCCCCAAGCTCTCAACCCCACAAGTCCTTACTTCAGTTGTTGGACTTCAAGTGATCATCATACAGAAGAACAAATGAAAATATTAGGGAAAACTGATGCCCCAGGAAGTCCAAGGTAGAGGTCTAGAGCCAGCCTGGGTGTGGTGTGTAAATAAAATTGTTTTCTTACCATTTGAATTATTCCTCTGGCCTTGCTTTCTGTTCATTAGTTTGGAGATGGCATCTCTCAGACTTTTCTGCCCGTACTTACACTTTTTGAACTGTAGCTTTCCAGATCTCAGCCTCCTGAGTAGGATTACAACAGTGAGCTGCTGGCACCTAGCAAGAGTGAGAATTTTTAATATTCCTCCTCTCTGCCATGCAGTGATTGTTCATTGTGCCATTCTTTATATTACTTGTTTTGCAAACTCCTAAATCATTCAGCTCTGAAGAAATCTCAGTGACCCTAACTGGGTGGGTACTCAGCTTCAGACCACTGGGCCAAGGCAGTTTACTTAAAAACTTTGCTCTGTCATCTTATCTTTAAACTGTAGGCTGGGAGTAGCTTTATGGTAGACTAATTGCCTGGCATGCCTGAAGCCAAGGTTTGATTGTTAGGAGGGGAAAAAGAGGGTGGGGATAGCAATTACTTTTATATGTAAAGAAGGTAGAGAAAGCTATAGGTAGATCCTATTATTTTTCATCTGCCAGTGTTAGTTTTGTGTTCAGTCTGTTGCT